TTCAGGTCTTAATTGATTGTTCACGCTTACAGTGGCTTTCAGACAGCATACATTAATTTTTCGTCTCCCCCCTCCTCTTTTCAGAACATAGATGGACTAGTCCTTCTAAATAAACTGCCAAATCGCTGCGCGTTGTGCTGACGTTTTTTTAAAATAAATAAATACACCGTTTAAAAATAAATAAATTAATGCAAACCGACACACCTGATGACGACCGTTTGTGTTATGGTCGAAACGTCGTGAGAATTTTTATTGTTTTATATATATTTTATTATTTTATTGTTTCCCTTCAACGTGACTTTACCGAAAGAGCTAAGAATATGGAGTGTTTGTGTGAACTAATATAAATGACTTGTAAAAATCATTACATGAAAGGATTTGGCCTTTAACATGTAGCAAAGCATTTATTTGCAAGGCAATTTAACAAATTGCACGAACATGAACAATACAAAAACATGTCGTAACGTGACTGATCAAACATTATAAAAACATCTGAGGCCTGCGCCCAAACCAATTACCACACTCCCGGTCAAAGTGCGCCATCTAATGGGGAAATGGGGGCATTACAGGAGAAAGGTAAAATTTAATTTAATAATAATATTTGGACAAGTTCGGCGGGTCGGATTAAAAAGCCCAACGGGCCGTATACGGCCCGGGGGCCGTACTTTGCCCATGTCTGAGCTAAGCCAATTACTCAGCCACAACATGGGTAACGAATGCCTGCCTCTCCCACCAATCAGGTGAGCATTGTTACTATTTAATCGCCCCCAGGCCGATTGGATTCACCTGTTTTCGCGCAGTCAATCCCACAGGAGGAGGCTGTGAAGTCGACACGAGCCCGATGCCTTTCGCTTCTCTCACAATACGAGCAGTGATTCTGGCCGCCCGGCACCCGGTTGGTATAAGTGTAGTGACATCTCGGGATGTCACCGTGTAATGCCGGCCCTAGATAGGCACGGTGTGCGGTGTACTGACATCGCGGACACCACTATGGTGTGGGTGCAGTACCGGCCCTAGAGGGGCTCGGTGAGCGCTGATCGATAGCGCTGGATGGCACCACGCTCGGCGTGCAGTGCCAGCCTCTACAGGATAGGGTGTGGGAGTGCCGGCCATGGAAATGGGGTTACTAAAGGCCATGGCACTCTGGTTGACCCGAGAGGACACGTGACCGGTTAAGTCTACAAAGGGGCCTCAAGCAGGGGCTAGGGGTGGTCACGTGTCGGGGTCGAGATCCTGCTTGAGGATTCTGGAAGGTGGGCGTGGCCAAGTGCGGAGCCAGCCACGCCGCAGAGGATATGAGTCGGGTCCCCCAGAGGAACCGGCTGTTGTTGTTCATCCTGAAGAAACCTTCGTCGACGTCCTACGTTCTACGAGTCCCCAACACGTGGACCTGGACCTGAGCTGTTGGTCCTGGTCCGTTGTAGCTAGTTACGTTGTATTAGTGTAGTTAGCCTGGTGGTCACCACCATAGGTTGTTATTCTGTTAAGGGGCAGTTATCCCGTGTGTTGGTGTTAAATTAATGTGTTGCCTCCAAGACCACATCTGCGACTCAGTTGAATCCACTTCACAAGTTATAATAGCCATCATTGAGAATCTGGAACGTGCGCAGGTTGTGTTCACTCTGAGAGCGAATCATTCAGAGGCGATGAGAATCACAAACAAGCGGTGGGGGAAGGCATCCGGAACCACCATCAGGCTCCGTGGCCCTAAGGGCCGGTGACATTACCCAGCGGCAGCAAATTCGCAGCTCGTTGTAGAAGTTCACGGCTGGCTTCCACACTTGCGAAGTGTATTAACTGTAGCAATATTAGGCACTGTCTGCTTCCCAGTGGGATTTTCAATATCCAGTGACGTCATTCGAAAGAGGAGGACATTGTATGCCGACATCACGGCTGAAATAAAAAGAAAATTGCACCGCAAATTACTAAATTGGAATATATATGTACACGTAGCAATAGTTGCCCCCGACTGGGAAAATTTGGCAGGACCTAAATAAGTCTTGAGACTCGGTGAGTGGTAGTGGCAGGTCGTAAGAACCCCCCCCCACCACCACAAATTAACTCGTTGCACACTGCACGCGCCCGATGATTGTTAAACACGTGACGCGCTTAGAAATCAACGATTCCTGCATTAATAGAGCCAAATCAAATTCAAGAACGAGATCTCAGTGTACCCGCGTGCAGCGTGACGCATGCAGCGGTGCACGTTCGTATGTATGACGTATGTTGAACTTCTTTCGCACCGTACGTAGCCAACCATGCTAATAGGAGGGTGCGGGGGAAGGACAACAAATGAAACACAAAAAACTTCTAAAGAAATGAGTTTTCAATATTAAATATTTAAAAGTGCATAGCTCCGGTGGCTTCCTAATAGAGCGTTCCAGACGGCATCTGAAAGCGCACGATGCGGTCGACCGTCTTTGTTCGATGGCCGGCCAAAAGGATTGACTCGGTCGGTAATCCCTCTGTGGTTTTCGCTGAGGAGACACCAATCCCTGCATCCTTATGGGTGGGAATGCAACCCTTCCACTGCTGGTTCGGCCGGGCTGACAACGCAGTTGAGCTCTCTGTCCAATGTTCAACGGAACAGGCAGACAATTTTGACTTTGAATTATTGTTTAGCACGTGAGCCAATGAGCCGGTCAACCGGCGCTAATGTTCTGTCGTCAGAGGACGCCCGCCATCATCAAATGGCTTAGGCACGTTTAGCCTACCGGACATCTGTGAAAAAGAGCTTGGTAGCTCATCGGATTCCTCCGGTCAGAATAAAGATTCTGAGTCTGAGAGCAGAGCGAGCCTTCTGCCGGACCCCAGGACACGGGGCACGCAGGAGAGGGTGACCGCGATGAAGCCGGGCGACACAGCTGGACGGAGCATCCTCTGGAGTAATTCGGGAAAAACTGACACTTGGGAAAGCGCTGTGATGAGTGGGGAAGCGCTGGATTGTCCAACGTTTCAGCGTCAAAGGATGGTCTTGATCAGTGCTTCTTAACCCTTACTGCAGGCTTGCACCCCTTCGGATCTCAATCGTAACAAATATATAATGTTAATAAATACTTAGGCGTTTGATGAAACAAAGTAGTTGTACTTCCGTGCCCGTGCTTAATTTATGTTTCGATGATTTACCTTCTAAAAAAATCTAGCCATGTCTCGTACCCCCAGAGAGGGCATCTCGCACCACCGGGGGGTGCGTGCACCCCTACATGGTCCTGGCCGATTACGGGGAGTGGGCCTGAGGCAGAACTTATTATTTGGGGAGCCCAAATTCTGTTCATGAACTCCTCGTGAGATGATAGAAGATACGAACGGAGACAGAGGTGTAGCGAATGAGCGCTGGAAACACAAAACAAAGGTGGTAAAACGCAAGAGAGCGATCCAGACGAGATATGGATAAGAGACTAATTGTATTTTTAGAAGATAGTTCACTTTCTTGTTTTTTGGGGGGAGGAATTTGAATTCAAGCTGCTGGTTCGTTCATCCCTTATCCCTTCATGAATCCGGGACACCTCGAGTTTTTTAGGCCGTATTTGCTGTGTTTAGGTGGCTCACGTCACCAGTGTTCGTCTCTAACTCTCTCTCTCTGTGCTGCATCTTTGTCTCTCTGTGTGTATGTTGTGTATATATCTCTGCGTTTGTCCCTATCTCTCTGTCTACTGTGTCTGTATCTCTGTCTATATCTCTCGGTGCGCTATATCTGTATCTCTCTACCTCTCTGTGTGTGCTGTATATGCATCGCTGCCTTTGTCTCTACCTCTCTCTCTCTCTCTTTGGTGCTCATTCTATCCAGCTCTTGCCATTAAGTGGGGTGGACACGTCACTTCTTGGGGCAGGATATCGACAGCACAGAGTGCCTCATTTTCTCAACAAAGGATTGAAAGGGGCCTGCGAACCTGACAGTGTCGTTGGGGAAACCCATGAATCCCAGGGTCCTTTTGGCTTCGCTAACTGTCAACAGGAGGTAAGGAATGATGATGGTGGCTGCCTATGCCTCGGGCATAGATACGCATCTGTGGCAGAATGTATAAAAGGCGTTTCAATGTTGTCTTCATTGACCGAGGCGCCTTGGAATCGACCGTTGCATTGGGAGGGTTTAATACCCATGTGAGCCAACATCCTGACACCTGGAGGAAGTTATTGGAAGGCATCGGCGAGGTCAGTTTAATAACTGCAAATACACTTAGGGTTACCAGCTGCCCGGGTTTGGCCTGAAGAGTCTGGGAATTGGCATCTGTGTGTTCAGGGGGAGGGGGGGTGGGCAGGAACTGATTTGTACCATGATCTGGTACCGGTGTTGTGATGAACTTTATTACACAGAATACTGCACAGTTTTATTTCGACCAAGGCTGACTGCTGGATTATTCCAGGGGTTTTGGCGGGAAAGGTTGGGACGCCACTCGCAAAAGTCCGGCCTTGCGACGGCCCCATTGAGGACAGAGGTTTTAAGGTGGGGGGGGGGGGGTTATCCTTCTAAAAGGTTAACTCTCAGTTGAAGAGGAGTCTGAAGCGGACGTGCCGTGGGAAGGATTTAAAACATCTGTTGTTGTGACAGTGCCAAAAGTGCTTGGGGTCCAACAGGGAAAAAGGGTAAAATGAAAAAGATATTGAAAAGGTCAGGGCACGTGCATGAACCACGGCATCTGGGGGGTGAGCAAGGGGAGAGGATGCAGCCTTCGTTGAGGGAACAATGATGGAAAGATATTGACTCGCGTAGCATTGATTATTTTCACAAACGGGCAGGGGAAATGAAATATACTAAAAGAAGAGTGGCAGCAAAAAAATATTATTTTTTTGTAACGAACTTTGCGGGGGGGGGGGGGGGGGGGGTAGGAGGGGGAATGTATCAAGAGAATACTGTGTAAAGTCAAGCCATTAATGTAATTTAAATATCACATCTTGATAATTGCGATGATATTAATTGTTACGGTTGTAAGTAATTGCCATCGTAGTGCACTCGTAGGCGTAGCGTGAGTGAAACTGTTGATTGCTGTCGTCATAGTTACCGAAGTCATTAACCCTGCGAAGATCGGCAATTCGAGGGCAGGTGGGGTGCTGCCTTGCCTAACCCTGGTGCGTTCCCTGGGCCGCGTGGGAATCCTTCGGCCACCCGAACAGACCAGCGCAGGTGAAGTATAGCAAAAAAAAACACAAGGTTCACAATGTTCAAATTACACAACCGTGGCACAGCTGGGTGGGCGGGTGGAGAACCAAAGGGTGCACAGAATCTCTGGGTACACAGAGGACGCCTTCTCGATTTGCCTCTTGCTTTCTAACAACGCGCGGAGTCCATGCAATTAAACCTTATCGTGCTGGAGACGCAGCACGTGATCAATACGTAAATAAATTTGGCAAAATTGTTCCGTGCACAGTTTACGTTCACGCTCAGTGAGACGCTAATTCAGAGGCGCAGGAAATCACAGACACACGCGAGACGGCAACCCGAACCACTGTCGGTAATTGTTCAAGCTCCGTGGTCCTATATTTGGATGTTTGGCCAACTCCATGAATGAGTGTTTAATACACGAGAGGAAATCCACGCGTGTGAAAGAGGTCACACTCAATCCTCGTCCAGATGGAAATTAACCCACGTGCTGCACTGCCAACATACCCTGGCATGCCTGCAGATGGCAACCGACGGATAGGGAGGGAGTTTCACAAATGTGTGTGTGATCCACAAACCCTCACGGCCTTCACAGTGCTGAATCACAGGCCATATGAGCATAGCCACCAGTGCTCGGTATGTCCACAGAATGGTGCAATGCCAGTTACAGTCCAACATCGCCAGAGACGTTAAAGCTTATTACAGGGAATCGCAAGACGCTTAACATAAACACAAATATCGTTCTGTGTGGAAAAGAAAATGAGGCAAATTCTTAGCAAAATATTCAAAGGACTAAAGATGCAAACTAACTATTTGAATCCGTTTGACACGTAGGCTTTCACGACTAATATCATTCGTACGAAAATGTTAACCTGCCACCACGAGACACAGACAACCAGTATGGTTTGTCACGTAAACAAAACGTGACAATTAGTTACTACTTCACCCCACCGGTGTGTTGGAGAGTGGATTTACTCTTTGTTTACATAACAAACCTCGCTGGTTGGCTGTGCCTGGTGATGGTGGTGGGTTAACGACACATTCATACTTACGCGATCTAACCTTAAAACCTTTATCATGATTACTAATTGGATGTCACCTCTTATTAAAATAATAAGCGAATGAACATTGGAATGGACATTGCACTGGAAGTGGGAGCAAGGCAAAAACAACAGCGGGCAAGTTGTGCTGCCACTATCCTTCCAGTGAGTCCCCGCTGCACATTGCATCTCATCTCAGTGAGTCCCCGCTGCACATTGCATCTCATCTCAGTGAGTCCCCGCTGCACATTGCATCTCATTTCAAATATTCCAAGGGCACCCCCGGTGGCAGTTGTCCCTGCATGGCAAAAGGTGACTCGGCGAGCGGGGACGAGCCAGCACGTAGAGGTGCGATGATTGCTACGCAGATTCCAATTGAGTGATGTGCGAGTAATATTCTGTTTTCATCATTTGGACCCGGACACTGGCACGCAATCGCCTATTCTTGCGAATTACGTAATTTGATTCTTAACATCCACTGTGAAGCAGATGGCGTGGATTAATAGTGAATATACCCGCGGTGATAACCAGGGTAGACTGCCGGATTCGAACCGCGAGCCTTTGCAATAAGCAAGGGAACAAAGCACCCACTGGGCCACGTCAGCAACCCCAAACATTGTATGCGTTTCACAACTGCAGTGCCGTGTTGTATATCATTTGAAACGTGGCCCTCGTCTGTTCGCACACTCGGCGCAATAATCACCCGCGAGTCCGCGCTGATGTCTCTGCAAAGTAACTTTACTATGAAGGTTCGTTTAAAGTAATTTTGTCCGAGTCAGTTTTCATTTCAGAAAATTTTTTCACATGTAATGTTTTGCGCACCGCTTTCGATTTCTTCCGTAATGCAGCTGTTCAGATCCCCTGAATTTCTATTGGCGTCATTGCTGTTCTTGTTTTGATGTCATTGTCGTGTTATTGCTTCTGTTATTGTGGTGACTCACTCTTCCTCTTGAGGCTGTCCCCAGGTCCCGTGAGTTCTTGGCCGGCTCAAACAAAACACACTCGACATAAACTCGCTGCAGCGATGTCCAGCATTCTGCAACGAGAGGGTCATCCTCGATTAAGGAAGAGTCCTTTCAATCGAAGCAAGACGGTGGTCAGTGGCAGGACGAAAATCACAACGCATGATTTAATCAGTGATACACGATCGCAGCGTGATGGGGAACCGGGCGAGCAAAATGATCAACTCACGCACACGGTCGCGCGCGACGCCAGGCAGAGAGATGTGGGCAAAGTGGGGAGGGGTCGCGGCTTGCTTACAAATTCTAACGGAGATACACAGGGCAGAGGCACGGTGTTATTTAATTGACAACGTTACTCCGCGGACAGCGTTTGGGGACACCCTGCGTCTGATTCTTGTGTTGGGAAAATCAGTTTCTCCAAAGGATTCAGCAGAAAAGGCCAAACCACACATAAAACACAACAATGACAATTTGGCCATATTTTGAAATAATTAAGATACAATCTGCCTTTCTGCAAACATGTGCATCAGGCGCTATGTGCTTGCATGTGATTTACAGCTAGCGGCAATATCTAGGTCATTCACTACACGTGCCAGGTAAGAATACATTTCGGCAGAGTAATTTACATAGCTTTGTCAATCCATTGTTGGACGAAGTGTGCACACTGCTCACTTTAACTTAACCAAGTCAAAGTGATTTCGAAGCAGTTGCTCATCTCGTGTTTACAACCCTGTGCCAGTGCTGGAATTTCCACATTCCTATGGCAAGGGTGAGTCTATCCACAGGATAACTGCTGACATCCCCATAGAACGGTATATTCATTTTATCGACCATAGAGTGATAATAGGCTGAGTCGACTCCCAGCTAGGATTTGAACTCGTCACCTTCCAACTGCGAGCTGCACACTCCACCCCTGAGCCACGCGGCCGGATGTACAGCGAACAACACATTCCTGCGGAGGGAGCTGGTAGAAACGTTGGGTTGCTCGGTCAGTGGCCAGGGTCAACGGCGGCACCACGTGGTGTATTCCGCAAATATGCCCGACTGTGAGGGCGGGCACAAGCCGGCGTGAGTAGGTTAAACGTTGAGTTTTATAAGGGCACCACGGGGTGGCCAGCCTCTCCCCACCCAGCCCCTCCCCACCCAGCCCCACCTCTCCCACCCCCCACCCAGCCCCTCCCCACCCTCCCCACCCAGCCCCTCCCCACCCAGCCCCTCCCCACCCTCCCCACCCAACCCCTCCCCACCCTCCCCTCCCCACCCAGCCCCACCCTCCTCACCCAGCCCCATCCCACCCCGCTCTCCCCACCCAGCCCCTCCCTCCACACCCAGCCCCTCCCCAACCTCCCCTCTCCACCCAGCCCCACCCCTCCCATTTTTGGATGCACGACGGACGGACACAATAATCCCCTGTGGGCTGGTGGTGTAACCAGGAAGTTTTTACCAGTAAAACCCAACACATTCGTCCAAAAACACTGCCTTAAGAGGGACCATATGTATATAACAGGCGACATGTCAGGCAATGGCCCATCTTTGTTGCACACTGCACTATTGACGTACGTGTTTAGTTTGTGTACCTTGTGCACCGCCGCTAACGCAGTATCCCCAAGCCATTTGTTTAATATGTTAATGTTACCCATATTAAATCCTCACTTGTGTACACACATGGAATGCACTGTTTAAGCGGCTCAAAAGGGTCCATTAACAAGGCATATATCATCATGTATTGCTAAGTCATTTGGTGAAAGAATGTATAGACCACTCACAGAGTAACCCCGGGGTAGCCCCACTGCATCATCGCTCTGAGCCATGAAGCTGTGTGACTCACAGTGCTGAGCTCTGCTGACTACGCAAGATCGTGTACTGGGGCTGTTGGTGGTGGTGATGGGTTGATCATATGGTGATGGGGGTGGTGGGGGAGGTGATAGTGATGGCAGTGGTGACAGTGGTGATTTAATGCGGGTTGTGGTTTTGGTGGTGGTGGTGATAATAATGGTGGTAATAGTGATGGGGGGGGGGTGAAGGGGGTGATGGTGGTGGCGGTGATGAGTTTGATATTGATGGAGGTGATAGTAATGGGGGCCGTGCTGATTGGTGGGAGTGTTGATTTATTTAGAAGGAGCGTTAGTAAAGAAGATAGTACGCTGCGATACGAACCCGGCGACCCGAGTTCAATTCCCACTCACAGCCAACATTGGTGACGAATATCTGAACCGGTCCTGGGCTTCCCCTAGGTCGAATCAGCCTATGAGTACCTGGTGCAGTGCGTAAACATCCTCACTGGGCATAGTCACGCGTGGTGCTGGCCATCCACCTCCTCGTGTGCCATGCCAGCCTTCATAGGCGCTCGCAAACACCACTAGCCTCAAACGTCTGTTAAGGCTATACGGGGGATCTTTGTCTTTGTTGGTTTATGTGGTGGTGATAGTGATGTGGGTGGTCATGGTGATGTGGGTGGTGATGTATTAATGGGAGTGAAGGTGATCAATTTCAAATTTAATTCTTCTCGAATTTAAGACAACGGAACTCTCTATCGACCTGCGTGTAAATAAACGTGTATGCTGTCCGATTATCGGGCTGTAAAAGTCTCTTCTTAGCGTTATCGATAATGCACCTGCAAAAAAAAACTACTTTTAAAAAATCGCTTTGCCATACACATCGATATATCTGTGAATAAAGAAGGCTTCCAACATTGGGCCCGGTATGAATGAGTAAAGCAAACAAATTACCTAAACGATCGGAGATGTCTGTTGGAGGGACACTGCTCAGGAAACTACCGCACAGACAGACAGGACACGACAGAAGTGATGGGACACAGAAGTGGATAGAATAAAGAGGCATGTTTGGGTTTGAACTGATCTTGAAAACGAACGGCAACGTATATGATGATTTAAGAATGTTTTTGATCAGCATATATTACCTGCTGTGACGTACAAACCAAAAATGAGAAACATGATACACCACATTCTTGGTTATTTCGGTAAAGTCACGTAGAAGGGAAATAATAAAATAAAACCAATTAAACAATAAAATTCTCACGACGTTTTAAATTGTTTTATTATTTCCCTTCTGCGTGACTTTGCCGAAAGAACCAAGAATATGAATCCCTGCAGTCACGAAAGCTTCAAATCGAAATGATACACCACCTCGAGTACCATGGCAATATATTATTTAAAATATATATTTTACGAGGTAAGCTCTATAATGCATAGCTCTTTTTCATTAGTGACCTGGCCACAAATGATATCGTGTGGAAATGTACAGCAGCCAAATACTCTAAAAGCATGTTTCTACATGTTTATAAATGTGGAGGGAAACACCGAGGGACCCGGAAAAAAATCCACGCGACCACGGCGAGAGAGAGACATGCACATTTTAAATATACAGCAGGTGTCTGGGTCGGGATCGAACTCACGACCAGCTGTGTACCAGGCGAAGTCGTTAACATCTCGGCAATGCGGCGCAGGCTTCAGAAACACCGCGCTCTCGTTCGCGAATAGTAACGCAGAACACGTAGCCACACGTAACTCCAACACATTCCTCAGTAACCCTGCCTTACACATTCCCCAATAGCAAAGTGAACAATGTATTCAGTTTGTTTTGTGAGTCACTATCAACGCAGCAGCAGCAACATCGCCAAATAAGTAGCCACAATGGCAACTGCTCAGACCAGGGGATCGGCCACCAGAGGCATTTTTGTTCGAATTCGGACAAAAATAATTCAATATTTCAAGAGCCACAATGCACGCGAATACGAGACGGTCCTCCATAAACAGATTTTTTTTTTAAGAGCCGCAGGTCGCCGACCCCTGACTCAGACCAAGCACCAAACACGGGAGACGGCGGTGAGAATGGGCTGCAGCAGCAGCAGGAAGAACGCTGGCGAACGGAGTGGAACCCAAACTATGGACCATAGAGTAAGCCCACTGTGGAATGCGCTCCTTCAACAGAGGAGGAGGAGGAGGACGAACCTGCACGAATTCTCTGCTGAAGCCCTCTCGTCGTGGCCAACAGACCTCGACGTTGACCATTCAGCTCCTGAACATACGTCCATCATACGCAATAGAATGGAAGAGAGTTTCTTACCGGCAATTCCGCATTCACATTCCTATCACTGAATGCCAGTAGGGTACACACCGAGCCCAGGCTGTGGGTGATGCTGCAGGCCCCCCTGCCCCCCTGCCCCCCCCCCCCGGCCGCTTCCACGCCACCACCCCCCGAAACTCGCAGCCCCCCAGACGCACTGGGCTCCCCGCACACTCAGGGTCTGTAGTCAGGGCCTCCTCCACCCACGATTGATGCGAAAATTACCCCCACTTTCTACACAAACTCAACTCGTGTGTGTTTTATATAAAGTATATGCATTTATTTTACACAGTTGTTGAGCACAAGCCCAAGACGCCAAGTGGTCAGCAACACACAGCACCATCGAATTTGTAACAAATGACAGTTATATAAATTACGTTAAGATAAGAAAACTCTTGTTTTTATTAAGCAAGGTTATCATTATTATGAGAGATTGGGAGAAAGAGACGGTGATGGGATTAGGGAATTCAAAGTGGAGCAGCGCAAAGGAAGAAGCAGAAAGAGAAGTGAGATGACCTGCAGTGTGGTGAGTGGATAAGTAGGTGAGTGATTTAGTGAGTGGATATGTGAGTGGGTGAGTGAGTGGATGGGTTATTGGGTGAATGAGTAGGTGAGTTAGTGATTGAGTGAGCGAGTGAGTGGATGAGTTTGTTGTTGTGACCTGCAGGTGGTGGATGAACACAGCGTGGATGAGATGAAGCAGTGTCTCAGACCAAATCCTCAACACGGGTGGAGGAGTCAATGAGTGAAGTTCAGGGAAACGCTAATCGGTGCGGATGTGTGTGTATGGTGGTGCATTGCTTAGCCGTCATCTAAGCCATCTCAGTTAGTCGACCCGTGGCACCTGGGTCTGCCCCATGACCTCCTGCCAGCGGGCGTTCGACATATCACGTGGCCTCAAGGTGCACATGACCTGGCACAAGCGTCGTGGTGACGAATGGCGGTTGTTATTGTTGCTTAGCCGGAGCGCAGTGGCTCATGACCAATTTCAGCAGCGAATATCTGAACCGGATCTGGGCCTCCCCTAGGACGACTCCACCTTAAATGAGGAGCACAAAAACGGAGGCAAAAGGCAGCTAGATGGGCGTGGTGCTGGTCACTCAAACCCTCGGGTGCCGTGCTGGCCATAATAGGTGCTCGCAAACAGCACCTATGTTATTGGCTATAAGGGGGATCTTTGTTTTTCTTTGTGAGCACCGTCACCATCTTCAAGATATTCATTTCATGCCTACCTCTCCCCTCTCATCTCAATCTACTCCCCTCCACGCACTCACCTACCTCTCCCCTCTCAACTCACTCTACTCCCCTCCACGCACTCACCTACCTCTCCCCGCTCATCTCACTCTACTCCCCTCCACGCACTCTCCTACCTCTCCCCTCTCATCTCACTTTACTCTCCTCCACGCACTCTCCTACCTCTCCCCTCTCAACTCACTCTACTCCCCTCCACGCACTCTCCTACCTCTCCCCTCTCAACTCACTCTACTCCCCTCCACGCACTCTCCTACCTCTCCCCTCTCATCTCACTCTACTCCCCTCCACGCACTCTCCTACCCCTCCCCTCTCATCTCACTCTACTCTCCTCCACGCACTCTCCTACCTCTCCCCTCTCAACTCACTCTACTCCCCTCCACGCACTCTCCTCTCTCTCCCCGCTCATCTCACTCTACTCACCTCCACGCACACTCCTACCTCTCCCCTCTCATCTCACTCTACTCCCCTCCACGCACTCTCCTCTCTCTCCCCTCTCAACTCACTCTACTCCCCTCCACGCACTCACCTACCTCTCCCCTCTCAACTCACTCTACTCCCCTCCACGCACTCTCCTCTCTCTCCCCGCTCATCTCACTCTACTCACCTCCACGCACACTCCTACCTCTCCCCTCTCATCTCACTCTACTCCCCTCCACGCACTCTCCTCTCTCTCCCCTCTCAACTCACTCTACTCCCCTCCACGCACTCTCCTACCTCTCCCCTCTCATCTCACTCTACTCCCCTCCACGCACTCACCTACCTCTCCCCTCTCAACTCACTCTACTGCCATCCACGCACGCTCCTACCTTTCCCCTCTCATCGCACTCCACTCCCCTTCACGCACTCTCATACCTCCACCCTCTCATCTCACTCTACTCAAGTGTACAGGGTGGAATATATTGCATGCAGTACGGTAAGCAAATAAAATACTGCGCGTATAAAGAGAACGGGTAAGCTAGAGACTGTAGAACTGAGAATATAAACACCCATCTTTTGGCGACACCAGCATAAACAGCATATACATAGCATGTTACCAAATGTGCCCTGATATAGTTTTAGTACCACAATAAATCAGCAGACACTCCGCCTCCTTGCCATGTTTCTTCCTGTACATCAAACAAAATTATTTTTTGTTCACATCCCATCAGCCACACGGTGTTCTGCTGATGAGGCACTGAATGTCGAAAACGATTCCAGAGTTTCTGTTGAACGAATTCTGCTGAAATGATGCACTCCCGGGAGGGACATGTGGCTGATAAGATGTGTGAAAATGAATGCTCGTGTTTTATGCTGGAGGAACAGATATGTGAAGGAGGCGGATTGTGGGATTATCTGTTTTGAATAAGACGACCAAAGCAGCTTTGGGGAGTGACGTGGGATGATGGAGATGGAGGCAGCATGCGTGGGATGATGATGATGATGCGAGTGGGATGATGATGCTGGTGCGATGAGCGTGCAGGATGCATAGGTAGTATATGACTCGGGTTGTCAAATGGCAGCCCGTAAACCGGTAACCGTTTTCAGATTCGATTACCCGTTCTGAATGTCAGGCACCGAATTCGTTTCCAGTGGAGTGCCAGTCACGGACTCACCGATTGGCACGGGCCGTACGGTGGCCTAAATCACCGCGTGGTGAAATGTGCCCTCGTTCCCCAGCACGCAAGGTAATGGTGGTGGTGCAGCCCTGCACCACCACCAGCACGCAAGGTAATGGTGGTGGTGCAGGCCCGCACCACCACCACCAGCACGCAAGGTAATGGTGGTGGTGCAGCCCCGCACCACCACCAGCACGCAAGGTAATGGTGGTGGTGGTGCAGCCCAGCACGTGCTTGCGCGCGCCACCGCCGCTGGCAGCGAACGAGCCCTAGCGGGCATCTGTTCGACTCTTCCACGCTGAGTGGGCATCTGGGAAGAGGCGGAAGTGCCCACACTTTACCCCACCACAACATCGCTCGGCCGGTATTTAACCTGGGCGGTCGATGTAAGCGTGGTCAATGTATTTATACTCATGGCTGGACAGAGTCGGCGGCGGGGTAGGGGTGGTGAAATAAACTTGGCCCACTGTTTCAGCTTCCTCGCCGGGAGATGGAATCGAACCGACGACCTCTGGAACGCAGCTCCAGTGCGCTGTTGATCAATAAACTGTGGTGGAGGCAGCTTTGTGTTTTTTTCTTCAGATAAAGAGATAAACGTGCTATGCGCATTGCTAGACATCCACGTATGTGCGGCAAATCGGTAACCACTTTGTTTTTTTGACCGTTACATTTTGTTCGTTATTCAGGTCACCGTTAATGCAACAAACTCATTTGTTTTTCAACCCTACGTGGTCGATATCGCTGTGGGATTCAAATCGTGCGGAATCATCTATCTCCCTCTCGCATCTCGCTCAACACAATAACACGTGCTCCGTCGCTGATCCAGCAACCCCCTCCACTACCATCACCGCCAGCGGCAGCGGCCTCCGCTCTGACAGAGGTCGCTCTCCTTCACCTGGAATCCTCCCACCCGGCCGAGCACCCGAAAATCCTCTTGCCCGTGGCTCTTAAGTGACATCCATGGCACCCGCCTTTAGCGATAGAAACACACTCCGTATCATGCCCGTGATGCGCATGCTCCTTCCCTGTGTGTCACCACCACCACCACCATCATCTCGAGATGCAGTGGCATGTGAGAGCTATCAAAGCACCGCCACTGTTGTGCCGCACGCCGTCACGTGGGCATCACCAGCACGCGGCGTGGAAGGGGCCATGGGATGGACCGGGGCCGAGGTGAAGATGTTGGCCGACGGCTCCGGGCGGACGCCACTTACCTCGTGTCTGGGAGGGCACGGAGCACGGGAGTCTGGGCACACGGAGAGCGGCGCGGGACGCCGGAGGAGAGAGAGAGAGAGCGGAGGAGAGAGCAGGAGAGGAGGAGAGAGAGGGAGACGGCGCCTCCCCCATCTCCTCCTCCGCACGCCGCGCACAGTCCCCGTTGCCTGGCAACTCCTCATGCAATAATCATGAGCCTGTTAGCAAGAACCTTTCTGCAAAGGTTAAACCACAAGCTGCTTTACAAAAAGAAGGATTTGTTGTTCAATGTTAGCATTAAAATGTGAACGTGGATGCGCGACGCGGGGCTGCATCACTTTCCCCGTTCCGCTGGCGCGTCCACTAAAGTTGACTGGGATCGCCTGGACAGTCGAACTATGCTGGGCCTAATCACAATCAATTATGCTAACGACTGCTGCCGCTTCGCTTGTCACGCAATTCGGGATGTAAGCCGCTGCCGACGATGTCGTCGTGTGGCAAATAATTAGTTGGAAACTTCCAAACGCCAGTCTCTGTGGATTCATGATTTGTTGGCGCTGCTGCTGCTGCTCGTGTTGGCAGTGGCGCGCGCAAACACCAACAACACACGCAAACGCATTCGTCAACAGCACCGTGGCCTTAAAGGGAATACCAAGAAAAAAATAAAGCATCGCATTTAAAATACATCATAATAATAATAGCCAACGTTTCGGGGGTAACGTCCCTTTATGTATAGGAAAAAAAACCCAAATAGGTTGTTACGATTTTAATGCCGAGCGAGAGGCGCTATTCAGCAGATCTGGTCCCATCGCAGCTGCAATGCAACCCGCGCTTGCGTAACTTACTGCCCTCCCCAGAGACGCGCCGAGTCGCAAATTCACCAGCCGCGTCTGCTATGCCGGCACCCAGCGTAATAGCCGCACGCGCACAAACCCGGGCCATCTCCGACGACGCGGCCCCTCTCTGGAAGGGTGATTGCTGTCGTGCTGTCGATGCACATCCAATCCGCTGGTAACGGCCATCCGTATGGGGTGGTGTGCGGCGGGGGTGGGGGGGTGGAGAGACCTTCAATAAGGCGTCACATGTGATAGTGCTATTCTCTCTGTTTTACCAACATGCAGGCGCGGTGTGTAATTTACGGGTGTTGTGTATGCCATGTTATAGCGAGCATCACACTATGCAAATGCACACCCGTAGAGGTGTATTGCACGGTCAGTAGTGATTTTCAGTATGCCACGGTGTTCATGTGAATTGCGTGTGAAATCGCAAATCATAATGTGCCATATCATCATCGTGGGCATGCATGCTGAATACGTGACTGTTGGTTTCCACTGTGATGATATGACGTTCCATTCTGCAGCAAACTTGAATTTATATACATCTGTTGGCATATACAATTCGTAATAGTATAAGAAAATGTATCGCCTGCGTGGTCGATTTGCGTACAAGAGACGTTCAATGTGTTATAATCTTCGTCGTATCATCATCGCCAGGTTCCCTCCTCTTTCCCCAATCCAATGAATGAGTTTTCTCTCTCTCCAGCATCTGATGCACGTCATGTGTAGATAAACCTTTCTTAAACCCCGCCTGCTCACGTGGTTGGATGGCCTCCACGAGTTGTGTGTATCGTGTTCTCTGTGACGTCAACATTCACGGCAACAATGCGAACGGATATCCCTTGATTAACGAACGTTCGGTTTACGAAATTTCGCGTTTACGAAATGTCAAACAAGCAGCAGCACCGGGAGGCTGCATCATCCATTCGCGACATTCCAGCAGTGCAACAGTAACACCTCAAACATCACATTTCCAGTCATTCCAACATGCCGATCTTTTGGTGAGTTCCTTGAAAAGGAAGTTGTGGGTTCGATCCCGACCCTGACGCCTGCTGTATATTTGGAGTTTGCATGTCGTTCTCCCCGTGGTCGCGTGGATTTATCTCCAGGCCCTCCGGTTTTTCAATCCACATTTAGAAACACGCGTTCAGAGTATTTGGCTGATATAAATTTTCACGTGATTAGCCACTGCGTTGAGCTGTCATTTGTGGCCAGGTCGCTTCTGAAAAAGAGTTATATAGCTTTGTGGGCCTTACATGATAAAAAGTAAAAAAAATATTTATATTTTACATAAGTCATTATTTAATCGTTTTAATCTTTTTGGCCTTTTGTATTTATTATTTTTTATATTGTAAAACTGATATATGTGTATAGTTTTACATTAGGAGTAAAGATGTAATGACTGTCCGAATCACATCCCTAATTTTTTTTTATTAAATTAGTTTTATGCATAGTATTTGAAGAACGTATCCCTTTCGTAAATCGAGGGATACCTGTATATGGGCGATCAGAGGCTGTGGTCTCCGGTTATTGAAGTCAGTTCCATCACTCTTTTTGATTGAGGTGTCCTCCTCTTTGTGTAAACATTCAGTAAAGATGTCTCAAAATGTTTCCCAACAACTGCCCATGCTTCTTAGGTGGCGTCTACACTTTTATAATCCTATCTCACATGAACAATAATTTGTGTATCGAGAGATACGTATATCTGGGAGAGATGTTGGTGATCCTGCACATGCCGGCGATAACCTGATGAGACCTGTCATCAGCAGGAGTCGGGATGTAACGCTTTATTTCTATGCATAACCGGTAACCGCGTGAGAGAGAAAAAATGGTTACCGGTTTGCCGCACAAAGAAACGTCTCGAGCAATAAACGTCACGCGTTCACCCTTTTAACTGAGAAGCGAATGGAGCTCCCGTGGTGTTAATGATCATCAGCGAGCTGGACTCGCATCGCAGAAGTTCGCCGTTTCGATTCCATCTCCCGGTTCGGCAGCTGAAACAATCGCTTCAAAATAAATTTGCTGCTGGGTGTATGCTTGGAACATAACGAACTCAAGTGCTTCGTTTGGGAATACGATTTCACGGCGTGAACACATGAATCACTCTCAACTCGTTTCATCGCTCATACTGATGCTCCTGCTGTTGTGGAGTGACTCATGCAGCCAGCTATGGCTACAGGGTTTTGGTGGTACATGTTATTTCGTTTATTGTGAAATTTCGGTCACAGTTCCTATGATCATTGTTACATTGCTTTTATGGCTTTATTTTGGTGATGTCGAAACGTTTTTTGGTTTGGCCATGTTTGTTTGTTGTAGTACGGAGTTAGACTGATGGCTTTAATCTAAGTTGTCTTGTGGTTGTTGTTGTTTGACTTGCATCCCATTGGGATTTTTGCACACAGCGTTGGTGTACGGTGCTTTTTTCTGGAACATTTTGCTGTTTTTTCCTGGATTTTTCTGTTTGCGCGTAGTCACTTTAAGATGTTTTCTTGTTCATGTTTTTTGTTTGTTGCGGTTGCACCCGATTCAAGAGCCGAATGGCTCACAGGGCTATACCTAATAAATGAAACTGAAACGGCGACGGCTGTTTTGGGTTCTCTTCCACTTCAACGATTCTGGGGCACCCCCCAGTGGTGTAACACATCACGATGCGCGCCACTAAGCACCATCACACCGCGCACGTTGCTCTGGCTAAGGGGCTGTCCATAAATGACGTCATGCACCTGGGGGGGGGGGGGTTAGGCAGACATTTGTGACGATGTGTGACGAGGGGGAAGGGGGGGTTTGAGAAATGTGACGTCACATCAAAATGCGCAACTTTAAATCAATATAAACACATTCTACTTAATTAAATATACCTTTTAATAAATTTTCTCCTACAACATCAGAGTGCAGCGCCACATTAAATACGCACTACAATGACAATAGTTTAAAGCGATTTGAAGCATGTTTTATTTTCAAAATGGATTTTTTTTTGGGGGGGGGGGGGGGACAGAGCTTTGTGACGTCATATTTGAGGGGGGGGGGGTCTGACTTTTTGTGACGCCGTGTGACGAGGGGTGGGGGGCAAAATCGTCCAAAATCGCGTGACGTCATTTATGGACGATCCCCAAACCGCAATGACGCTCTGTGCATTCCCGTGAATTTGCTCCAACACGGCTGCGACGCGTCTATCAAGTCGACCACCATCTGTCTGGCTCACGTGTGTTGTTTTACCCATGATGCAGTTCCGCGACAGAGTGTTCATGAGTTTATCGCCAGAGAAGTGACTGATTTTACAAGAGAAGTGGCATTCCTCTGCCGTTCTAGGGGGGTATGTACCCTGTCTACGAAGATACCAAACGTCTCGCCTTGGCCGGAAGATTTTTCATGAAGGCTGTCGTCCCTTTGTGAAAATCGCGATTTTAGCACCCGTCAAGAATGTTGTCCGGGTACACCAGGTCCTCAGCTGAGAACGGACATGCGTTTTCGGTAGAGTTGGTAACAGTTAACCGGTGACCGTTCTTATAATCGGCTTACCGATTCTGAAAGTCAGGTACTGGTAAGCGTTTTCAGTGGAAAGTTAGCCATGAATGCAATGATTTAGGACATCTACCCCAGGAGATGGAATCAAACTGATGACCTACGGTTCGCAGATCCAGCGAGCTCACCACTACACCATGACAGCTCCCTTCACTTCAACGTTTGTTGGAAAAAATGTGAAAAGTTATATTACAAAACATATACAGTAAAACAAATGCAGAAGGCTGCTGTTACTAGGTGAACACTACACAAAATAACATTAATTTCCAGCATGTATAAGAAGACTATCAATTTCAAAGAAAATGTAGAGTGTGCAGGAGGCTGTTGTTCAAGGGTCAACACCCAACCAAATAGCAAACGTACGCCTATTTTCCAGAACATAAATGTTACACCGATCTACAGTGCACAACACACACACCTCCCACTAACTTTGTGAGAGGGACCAGTTTTTTCCCTCCTCCTTCAGAGTAAAAATCACATGGGAATGAAGACATGGATGTTCCGATGTAATTATTGGAGGGATGAACATCGATGTTAAAACATTGATCCATCGGAACTTAAACCCCGATGTGACCAATGTGTCGGTGTTTTTGTCCATCCCTCGCTCGCGCCATGCAGACAAATAACAGCGTCACCAAGACCAGGCATTATTTTCTCTCAGGCAGAATACGACACATTTGGACTGTTAAAATAGTTTATTGACATTTGATTACGAATTTAAATAGAACTGATAAGCATACTAAATACGGTAAATCCATTCCAGTTATGTTTTGTTATTTTAAAAATATATATATATTTTTGTTGTTGCTTATAATGTAAAATGCTTTAGGGCTGTGAAAGTCACTGCGGGGCAACATCATTCTTCACGGGGGCGTGCAAGACGGCATGGTGGACAGCAGTGGTTTAGATGGTTGATAACCGAAAAAAAACAATCCTCACAAATTAAAATGACTCTGGCGATGTGCTAAGTGCCAGCTTACAAGCCTCAAACCCGAGCCAGCCTTTGACTCGGCCCATCGTCCTCCCTCTGGAGGTAATAAAAATGAGCACCGCTCTGGAAAATTAAGAGTGGTCATCCTACCGAAAAGACTTGTCCCCACCACGGGAATACGGAATTTCCATCACTGGCTCAGTATGCGGCCACTACAGTGGAGTGCGTCCCCTTTGCTCATGTGAAGAGGCAATTTCAATTTAGTCATTTATAAAAGAGTGGAGGTCATTTTAATCAGCATTAGCGTAGAATTATAGCAATCTGACACACCGCGAAGAACCAATGAAAACACATTGAGTTAAATCCACTCAAATGATTCAACTCTTTAAATAACGGCTGTCATCCTTAAACATCGTCACGATTAATAATGAACCATCAAACACCAATAATTGCCCGATCATATTTACTAAATGCCACACATTTAAACATTCACTTTTGAAAATAAAATATTTTAAAAAAACATTTGCAAACACAAATCAAGTATTCTCAACAAGAATAAGCGAATCTGTCATCCATATTAAAGTTTATGTACAGTAGATTCTCAACCAAAACAAACCCTAAAACCAACCATACTCTTGACAAGCTTTGTATTTTCTGTTTGTGGGGTAATTGTCATTACAGTAAATGTGCACTATAGCCCTGCATACCCAAGACGACTCTTCTCGGCTCATTTTCCACAGCCACACAGCCTGGACCGGACCATCTGGACCTGCGTCCATGCTCATCCACGACTCCTCGTCGTGAAGCCACGAGGTCATCTCAGCAACGAGGTGCTCATTCCGTGATGCCACTCGCCTCGTTCATCTACCAGGCCACGTTTGTATCATCACCAGTGTTCTTCATTGTAAGGCCCGCGGGCCACTGGTGGCCATTAGTGCGGTCCCCGACAATATACAAATGTGGAAACAATCCATCGTGCCGTCCAACCCCAATTGTTTCAAACGTGTGGCGGCCCTCACACTCATGTCTTATCGGCGAAAGTGGCTCCCTCTGAACATTCGTGAACACTGCCATATCCCGTTCTATAAAGGAGGCCCGCCTTCTTGCCCTTACCCGTTGCCACCTCACCCCGCGCCGTGTTACCACCTCGAGAGCGGCCATTCATAATCACCGGTGGCAGCAAAGCCCCAGATACACAATTCATAAAATAATTAACACAACTAGACCAGGCACACAGACATCCAAATGAGAGCTGGAAACGGACAGAAATGCTACAAAAACATAATTAAATAGACGAACAGATGGCCACCCTAAGAAAACAATTATCGGTTACACACACAGACACATTCATGCGCACTGACTGACGCATACAAAACACACAACTTCCCCTCTTCATTAATCGGCTGAGCCGGGTGAGTGATTAAATCAGAGCCTCGTGCGCATGCAATTCTAATTGAGGCGAGACCTGGGTGGGGGGGGGGGGAGGCGCGGTGGTGATCAAAAAGAGAGCGACACACGACGCGATTGTGGAAAATCCACAATTGCATGACGGTGGAAAGATCGTCCATAGCGGCGTATCGCTTGAGAGACGCACACAGATCATCAGCCGGCCACAATCAATCGACTTTTGGATTTAGGACCTAAAACGATTTGTTGTTGGTTCAGTGTGCTGCGAAAAGCGAGCCACCTCGAAAGTGAGTGCCGAGGAATGAAGAAGGCCGAGAAGCTCTGCTGTTCGGGAAGGTGGCCAATCTTGGGTCACGCCGACTCTGCGAGGCTTAACACTGCATCATTTGCTATCTTAAACACGTCTAAAACTGAATTCATCTTTTAACAACACTCCCCACAACTTTCATCCACAACCTCGCCTAGATCGCCAATCCAGCGACGGAACATGATGGGGGAGCTGCACGGGTGGAGGTGGGATGGGACGGGGTCACGGAGGAGCGACTCGGCTGGCATTGGCGCGGCTGTTGCCTCTGGATCGAGCGCAACTAGGGCTTGCAAAGCAGTTGGCCAGGGCAATGGTTAAACACGCTGTCCCGTTACTCCAGGTCTCTGTAGCCAATTACAGTTCAATACAGTACGTTGGTTAGCTGCATTTTTGCACGATTCCCAACTAGTGTCGAAAATGTTAATGCATCGTGTCGTGCCTGACATGGGCTAACGACAATCAATTAAAGGTGATGCATTGTGAGTTAACTGTTTATAATCCATGCCATAGTAGCTCGTGCACCTGCGTTTAAACATTACTTAAAGAGGGCAAGGTCTGTTGCAAAGGGTTACAGAATCCATGCACAAGTAGGATTTACCTTCTTCTTGGTTATTTCGGTAAAGTAACGTAGAAAGGAAATAAAATAAAACATAATAAAATAAACCTTATTTCAATTTGCACCAAAATTCTATACCCTCCTTCCTCAATTTAGTGCAGTTTATGGAAAGTCTCTGCTTTATCTGCATATAAAGTTAAACTTTGCACATGTATGTCAGCAAAATGCCCTCGTCTCTTTGCAACGCCTTAAAGAGGTGACTCATCTCATGAACGGAAGTAATACGTCTCAAACACTCAATCAACTTTATATGAAACTGATTGTGTAGGAATGGACAGGTGGTTGTTGGATGGAATAGCACTGTTTAAATAACCATGCGTTTGTGTGATAATACCAACTAATGCTTCCCATTTTGCACCAATGGTACCTCCGAGGACAATACACTTATTCTTGTATTTATTCAACACTGTCCTTTAAAAATGAGGCAATTCCAGGATACAAAAATACTGTGCTATGTACAGTGCTGCCCATGCGGTTTCCCAGCACTGTGTTACTTTTAAAAGTGAAGTGGGCATGAAACATCGGCAATAATTTCTTCACAACAATCAAGTATAAACTATATTTTTTAACAATGTCAACCGTGAGAAATAGAACACTATGATAACCAATGTTGAGGTTTCAGGTATAATGATGTATATACGATTGAATTAGCCTAGGGTGAATCCAATTTATTTAGTTTTAAACTGAATTGGTCCGATCGGATAATCAGAAAAGTTCTGAGTTGCACTTTAAAGTCAAACGTCCTCTCAAAACTATAAGATGACCCAAAAACTCTGATCTCACACTCATCTTCCAGATGACAATATCTGCAAGCAATGCAATCAATACACAACAGAGGTGTTCTCTCCGCATAAAAACAGTCACAATATAAGAACATTTAAGTCCGAGTCAATCCTCAGATATGAATGAAAATGTGCTGTGTAATGTAATGTCGGCACAACGGGTTGAAAGATATGGAGTTGCGAGTGTTAAAGTTAACTGCACTATTTACATGTAACATTCCCAAATAAAAGGTAAGAAATGAATATGTGGTCTGACCATGCAGGAACATAATTTGAGAAGTGACATTAGGGTCAAAGGGCCATACGCCATGGGTCATAACAGATCATCAAATTACTGGGGTGTAAAGGCTTACATCCGCAGCTTTTGAGATCGAGAGCAGAAATGTCAATTTTCCAGGCATGGCAGGGCACAATAATAATATAAACACTCACGATTCACCACACTGCTCGCACTGCACAACATCCACACTGCTGTCAAATTGACGTTGACGGGACCGATGCAAACGTTGCTCGAACAGCCGAGTTGTGCACGCGTGCCGAGTGCCACTTGCACCGTCTCCAGTGTGGATTCGCGTTACAGACGCGCGCCACATGAAGCGGTGGACACGGCCAAGCGGTAGCTCGTTCGCTGCTTGTTGCGGAGGTTCGTGGTTCAAATCCGGCAGGTCACCCTGGTTAATACTGCAGGTGTAATCATTGTGAATGCATACCGCCTGCTTCATAGTGGAGGTTAAAGATCCTGTGGCATCATAGGAAAGGAGTAGGCCATTGCCCGTTGGTGTCGCGGTCCAAATTTGCTAACAGGCTTCGTTCAATTCAATAGCCGACATTCATTCAATATTCAAACACTGAGCTGAGAGCCAAATTTGAGCTATTACAGCTTTTACAACCATATAACAATATTTATAAAGTGCATCTCATCAAGGATTTCAAAGCACGATATAAGACACTCAGCATTGCAATAAGTCACGAAATTAAAAACAAGGAAATAGAAAGATGATAAAAATGAACAAAGCCATTTGTTTAATTAGCTAAAAGTTAAATAAACGAAAGTGTACCGACAGGGTTGGAAATGGCAACTTGGCCGAGTGCATTCTCATAGCACGAGCAATTATCAATGTTTTAAATTATAGTTTTAAAATGGTTGTAAGCGCTGAAATGCAACAATTGTGTTTACATCCATAGCACAAACACAACATACTTCCTTTTTTTGAATATTCACTTCATGGAAGACAGCATGGTTTGATGGATCACGACAGAAATCACCATGGTGATCACTAGGCTCTGCAGCTGTTAATTTGTATTATTTTCATCATTCATATGTAACGTTAAATGTAAGATATATACGGTAAATAATAACAATGATGATGAATTGAGTGCTTTGCAACAGAAAAGCTATCAAGCAAGAATTTACATTGCTGATGAACCATTTTAATTATAGTTGAATGGTGAAAATGATTTTGGGAGTTTACACTTCAAAACATGAAGGCAGCGTTGAATGTCAACCAGTGAGTGGAATGGGACAGGCGTGCGTGCAGTGATGCAGTGCGATTTAGCAATCAATTGCAATTACATCTGTGTAATATCTCTCTTAAGATGTTAATGGAAGACAGTTTCCAAGAAGACAGCGGTAAAGGCCAATTATACCAAGTAGCTTCCAATGTACGAAGGCTAATATCATTCTTGCAAAGTTTAGTCTTGACCTATTCAATCACACTCTCACGTGAGTCGACTTTTCTATGAGTGCTCAAATAAAATAGCTTGAACGTATGCAACATACATGTTTGCAGTATTAGTTATTAACAGGAGCCTTTATGCTTATTTCCTTAAGCTCAATAAAACAGAAATATTGAGCACCTGAATAAATTTTTCATGGCGTTTCATAGTTGGAATGTTTTAACACAAAATTGGACAAATTATTCCAAGCCTTATGTAATTAGAACAAATTTAGGTTTACACAAATTCATTATTTACATTCGCATAGGGAAGACCGCTTGGTTTGACTAAAAATATAATACACTTTTTGTCGGATGAAGGACATGGCAAAACTAATCTCCTGCCTTTTCCAGGATTTCCCTGAGCACTGCAATCAAATTGTTGAGTCCGTAAATGTAGCCCTCGTCGACTTCTTCCGAGATAAATGCGTGAGCAAAATCAATCAGCTTCACATCCACGTGTTGCCTGCAAGTCCTCACCGTGCCGACGGAGCGCGCGTAGTCTCTGTGAACATCCTTGGTGCGAGACTCAGCCACTTGTCTGCATAAGCAACCTGCATTTGTGTTGTCCAAACAGGAATCAAACACGTAGGAAGCTTGAGTATCAGAATTACTTGTTTGCAACAAGTAAACATTTGGCTGGCAAACATCCACAGAGGTGCACAATTTCACAAAATGATTGCCGATTATTGCCTCTTCTAAACCAATGCTGCCAGGAGGCACATCAATAATAGGACCAGGCACAGCTGACTGCTCATGACAGGTTGCCTCGGTGGCGGCAATAGGGTGAACTGCTAACGGTGGGTCACGTTCACTTCCAAAGGCCCTGCTGTGTGTACACCCGTCATGTGTTCTGCTGGCTGCTTCAGACTCACACGTGGCTGGTGATGTTGTCCGTGTGGAATGAACGGTCTGAGGAGGAGCATTTCCTTCATATACCATGAGCAGAGAGCTACTGTAAAAATTCCATATCCGTTGCTGTTGAAACCAAGTGTAAATATTCTCCAGCCTCTGTATCACACACTCCAGTGCATCCAACCGCAAGCAATGCCCATTATGGAAAAACTTGGAAATGCCTGTGGGTACAAACAAGAAAATCAACTGAATGCACAAACCTTAAAGTGGCAATACTCCCGCAACTAAACGTCCCACTATAGGCAGAGGAACTAAAACTGATCCCACTTTGCACAGAGCAACTCCAAGCGTTCCCTCTGTGTGTAGAGCAGCTCCTACAGCCGCCACTGTGTGCAGAGTAACTGCTTTAGCTAAAATAAAACATAATTAAGAATAGACTCCTCACCTTCTCTGAGATTATCTGGCTCTAAACTTCTGCCAAAGAATTTATCATAAACAACATCAGTGTTTGTTTCAGGCTGGTAAACCTAAAAGGAGAAACAAGCCAGTCAATTGCATAAGACAAGGATTACAATTCACCAACTAATTCACAATCAACATTGAAATGTTAAGCAGAAATTAATAATGCAACACACGTAGACCAACAAAGCAACAATAAAATTAGTGTTTTTAAATGTTATATAGTGGTGGATAGCACAAAGCAGCCAATCCACTTTTGCAGAGGAAAGTAAAGGGAGCAGTTGGCAGCACAACAGAAGGGTCGCCACCTTCTCGACTGTAGACCAAACCCAGACGTGTTTCTCTGTCAGCCTGGGTCTAATAACACCATGCAGTTTACTGCGATAATGTTTTTTTTAGCGCCACCAGACCTCAGTACAAATCAATTCCTGGCACCCGAGCACAGATACCAATTCTCCCAGAATGTCCAGGTCAAACCCGGGAAGGTGGCGATCCTACACACAGTGGACGTCTGCATTGCTCTGAAACGGTGTGTAGGCGGTTGAAGAGAATACACGATCCATGTTTAGATTTCTACATAATCAAAATAACCACATTACACGGAATTATTTTACTTCATGTTTTGCTTCGTGGGTCATTGTGATCAGATTGAGAAAATCACTCCTGTTGTCAACACATCGTATAAAAGCCTCCACTCCAAGCAAAGTGCTCAATTCATCAGCACGTTGTAACTTTTACAGGCACGTTAATTTGGAATAAAAATGTCTTACACAAACATCACGTTAAGCATATATAGTAACACATTTAAGTCGTATTGCTGGAAGTTATTTTGACAAAATTTGTGATAGTTATTATATATATTTTTAGAGTTACTGAGCACAGGCCCAAAAGCCCAAAACATCAAGTGGCCAGCAACAGTCCTTTCAAAGTTATAACAGATAAAGAGCGTGACATACTTCTTGAATTCAGAAAGGTTGTCATACAAGCTTTGGAAGAGAGACGATGGGAGGGAATTCTAAAGTTGAGCAGTGTGAGGGAAGACGCAGAATTGGTGTGACCTGCAGTGTGGTGAGTGAGGAGTTGTTGATCGAGTGGATGAGTTGTTGTGACCTAAATTGTGGTGCTTGAGCACAGTGCAGATGAGACAAAACAGTCAGTGTCTGGTGGACCGAGCCCTCATTGTCGGTGGTGGTATCAACGTGAAAATAACCATGGTAGTAGCTAAAGAATGTATGTATGCTGAACTTATTTAGCACAATACGAGCCAACGGTGCTAATGGGAGGGTAGTGAGGAGGGGACCGACCACTGATGAGCGAACGACTTGAGTGAAATGGTGAGCGCTGGGTCATTAATAAACCCAACTGCTTTACATTCGTTTATATCGAGATATATATATGTGTGAATGTTGTGAACAGTGAGGCGAACTCTTAAGTGTGACAGTAACACTGACTCTCATGCCCAGAACAAGGAATCCGATCTCTTGCATAAGGGGATACTTGGCCCGCTCATAGTCCACTTTTTCTTGTGAGGCACACGGATCATAACTCTGGCGTCCCATCTTCACATCCATAATGCATGGCTTATTGAATTTGCATGTCACATCTTCTAACTTCAGATACACAGCTGGCTTACATTAAAGAAACATCACACAATGCATTTTACTTTTAATACCGTTGCTGAGCACAGGCCCAAAACTTCAAATCAACCAGCCGCAAGCAGTACTATTCAAGTTGTAATAATGCATTCCTTGCATTAAGCAAGGTCATAACAGATTCGAAAAACACGCAAATAATACCTACAATTATACCATTATTTGGGTGGCAGGATGGTACAGTGGTAACACTTGTGCCTCACAGCAAGAAGCGTCTGAGTTCGATTCCCAACTCGGGCACATTTCTGCGTGGAGTCTGTATGTTCTACCCTGGTCTGCATGATTTACTGCAAGTTCTCTAGCTTTCTCCCTTGATTGAAGAAAAAGCCCATCATGTAACCGCTATTGGGGAAATATCCCAATGCTGAAAAAAATACCTACAAATTGGGACTACACAAAGCAACACACTGCTCTACTGTGAAAACTTTGCAGGAACCTCTTGAAAATTAGTCTGAGACTCCACGAGGTTTTCCTTGGTAAATGAGCATGATAATAATACATAAACCAATAAATGAGAAGAATAAAAAGGATACTATTGGGAGAATTAGGAGGTATCCATGTGCCCATGAATCTTGGAACTTGTTCTCGCAGGAAGATAATTCTCTCGTCTTTACATTCGGCATTAAATACCTGAAGAGACAGAAAATATTGGATTACCATTATCGAACTGCATACACGGCAACCATATTTGATCACGGTGCACACCAAAAAAAGATGAAGGAATGTTTCCCCTTATTTCAGAGAAAACAATAATCTCCAAGTGGATTACATCGATATACAAAAGGGGTGATGTTTTAGTTCTCAGCATGAAAAGCAACTCCCTGTGATGTGAACCCACTTTACACGCAAATACAGAATTGTGTGCATGACAGCAGCTCATAGACGCAGGCCACTGTGATCATTTAGATAAAGGGGTGATATCATGGCCGATGCCTACACCACACCTCCTCGCTACCAACACTCCCTGCCCTCCACCAGATCCCGCGGCTGCTGCGTAGTTAACACATTGACATGCATCACCTCTAAGATATGCCCTGCCATCTCCACCATCTTGTTAGGTCTTCCCCTTAGCGACTGGACTCGTGGAGACCACTTCAACGCCTGTCTCGTTAAGCTGCCCTCCCCCACCCTGCACATGTCTGGCCCATTGCAAGTGTTTTCCTAATCATATCTACACCATTCACCTGTCATTATTCTCTTCCGGACTTGTGCATTGCTTATCCTGTCATGCCACATACCCCAGTGATGAATTTCCAACAAGTTACTTTCAAACTGATCAGGGTCCAGCTCTCTGATCCATACAGGACTAGAGGAGCACTCTTGCCTCAAATACCCACAAACACACACTGCACTAATCCTCCCCAATACATCCAGTGGTATCTAAACTAAAACATAAACTTGTTTTTATTTTACCAGGTAAGGCCCACTGAGTTATATAGCTCTTTTCAGACGTGACCTGTAAATTTATAGCAGCAAAATACTCTAAATACTCTAAACGCATGCTTCTAAATACGGAGGGGAAAAAAATGGAGGACACGGATAAAGAAAACCACGCGATCACAGGGAGAATACGCAAACCCCAAATATACAGGCACCAGGGTCGAACCCACGACCTCCTGTATACCAGGCGAGGTAGTTAACATCTCACCACCATGGCACCCTGCAACGGTAGAGTTTAACACATACATTTTCACGGCCGCTTGTAATCCAAGTGCAGTTTTCTGGGTTGGGTCACGCGTTGAGTATTTCTTCTCTCAAGCACTCCACACGCACTACTTACTGCGCAGGCAGCTTCAGGCGTTGAATATTTCGTAATCATCTGTAGCTCACTCATTAAAATCCTGAAATTTCCCACATCAGCATGTAGACAAATCTTGAGAGAAGAAATGGTCAACAAGCAAGCGGTGCTTGTAGGGTGTTAGCCGATGCACTGGCTGGTGTGCACCGTTCTCACCGTTTTGTAGAAATCCACCTCCCTTTGTCCCCGTGGAGGGGGCTGCACGTGTTTCAGCACAGAGCCGTCGGGGTGCTGCCGCATGCCTGTGGCACACAACCCGCAATGCGGGGCCAATCCGTGGCAACGCCACCAGAAATCCCAACCTCAACGTTTGGAACTTGCTTATAATGTATTTTGTGTAATGGAAGATAACATCAGCTTTGAAACCAGGTCAAGTATTCCAACTCAGTGATTCATATTTCATGAGATACATCCCATTTAATGGGGGGGGGGGGGGAGGGAGGGATTGAATAGTTGAAAATGGTCTGGTTTTTGAATGATTTTGAGGATCTAAAATTGGTATTTAGAATGACAGAAGCCCTATGAATGTCTGTACAGAAGACAGCGAATTAGGTATTCTGTAAAATTCTTGCCAAATAGGTATCAGAGCTTTTAAATTGTTGTTATAAGTGAAATAAAACAGTCCAATATACAAGTGAATCCTGAATCGATTTTATAACTTCACTCATGATAAAAAAATGGGACATGAACGAGTTAAAACGTGAGCCACTTTGCAAATGCACGCTACAAACATTCTTAAAACAAATTAACAAAGTTATGCCATACCGAGGCCCTTCTTTTTCCCATCCACATGTCCAGCCACTTGGTGGGACAGAGGCTTGAGTTGTGCACAGCAAGCCGAGTGTGCGGGTGCCGTTTCGGCACAGTCTGAAGCATCGCTCCGGCCTTCATGCGAGCCACTGCTGCCTTCCAGCCACTTTCCAATTCTCCGATGTTCATCGTCCATTGCTGCACTTCCTGACGACAGCCATGGGTCTTGTGGGGTAGGGTTGGGATGTTGGGTTCGTTCGGCCTGAGGATTTACGCCATCTATTCGTGCAATTACACTTGCGCTGGTTGTCTCATTATCGTCGGCTTGCTTTTTATACATGTCAACTGTGTATTTCGCTTCATGAATCTTCTTGTTATTTGGAAGGGAACTCAAATGCCATGCTAACATTTAACTTGTGTGATATTGAACGCACGCAAGCATGACCAACAGTGATAGTTCAGCTGTTTTTTTCTAGGATTGTATATTAACTTCCCAATTACTTTGCTCTATCTCAACTAACATCTAAGATTTGCTGTCACATGTCTATAGAATATGTTCTTTACAGACATCTCACATTTTAGCACAAAATCAGATGCTGGATTTGACACTCAGACGAAACGTGTATTTTATCTAGCATAAGTTTTCACTTACGATGCTGTTCTTCATCGCATGCAAGCCAACGTGTTAAATCTTAGGAAAGTGAGGATATTTTCCTGAAAAAGACAATTTTAAGTCTATTTTTAAAGCACCGGCAATATGGTCAATGTGCTACTTGTGTGTTCATTAAACTTTCGTAATCAACGATTGAATACAGTGCATGTCATTACACATTCCAGTCCTAAGTGTCAGTAGGGGTTGTGGAATTAGAAACAGGAAAACATCCATGCCAAAAATGTCCCATTAATTGGGGATTTTTTTTTTTACATTTTAATACATGTGAATAAAAATACTTATTAAAAATGTATGATCGATTGAATCAACGCTGAAACAAATGCTTTGCATAGGTAATATGTAAATGACCGTGTACATTTTTTGAAACCAATACCTTTCATTAGCACAAATAAAATTGCCCAGAAAAAAATCAACACTCAAGTGACTCGGTATAGTATTGCTAAATACTGGAATTGTTCGTTCATACTTTTTAATGAAAACACACGCAAGATCAAGCAGCATGGGCATGCAATCAATGGCTGGGCATGTGGCTTCTATGACCCTCGCTTGCAAGAGGAGCTCACTCATGGGACTGTGTCCTGCCAGATATTTCAAAAGGAACTGTAAGCCCCTCACACAATTCAGCCTGGTTAAACCCAGCATGGATCATGGGAGACCAGATTGAATGTTTCAAATCAGTACAGGTGTTCTTGTAAATGAACTATGTGGTCATAAAGATGTTAAATTGCGCAAGGGACCAAGGGAATCCATGCCGCACCCCAAGTTTAACAGAAAACTTGCTGTCACTTACATCGACGCGGCTTTAATAATATTCGCTCACTCTCAAAGAGAATGACTCGAGAGACGCGAGGAACCACAGACGAGTGGGTAAACTGCAGCCAGGCAGTGAGCCGGTGCTGCCAATAATTGCCCAAGATCTGCGGTCCTCTATAAATTAAGGTGTTTTCGGCCAATTGATGTTCATGCATGTGGGAGGGAACCGGAGCACCCAGAGAAAACCCACGCACGAGGGGCGACATTCTATCCTATAGAGATTAAACGGAGATTAGCACGCATTTTGCCGGTACGCATTCTCCTGGCAGGCCAGGGTATGGCATTGCTGTGACTCACCAACTTACATACACTCCCGCACACAAACACAGACACACTCGCAACACCTTAATCCCTAAACCTCTCACACACTCTCACTCATTCACCCTCGATCACACGATCCCCCACTCTCATAACCCTGACTTTCACCCTCACGCACTCACTCTCAGCCTGTATTTTCACCCTCTCTCCTCACCCCTCATACTCTCTCTTCACCTCTCCTCACTCCTCAACCCTCACCCTCTTGCTTCACCCCCTCCTCATCCCTCGCCCCCCTCTCCTCATCCCTCACCTCCCTCTCCCTCCTCACCTCCGTCTCCTCACCCCCCTCTCTCTCCTCACCCCCCTCTCCTCATCCCTCACCCCCTCTCCCTCCTCACCCCCCTCTCCCCATCCCTCACCCCCCTCTCTCTCCTCACCTCCCTCCTCACCCCCCTCTCCCTCCTCACCCCCCTCTCCCCATCCCTCACCCCCCTCTCCCTCCTCACCTCCTCTCCCTCCTCACCCCCCTCTCCCCATCCCACACCCCCCTCCCTCCTCACCCCCCTCTCCCTCCTCACCCCTCTCTCTCCTCACCCCCCTCTCCCTCCTCACCCCCCTCTCCCTCCTCACTCCCCCCACCCCCCTCTCCCTCCTCACCCCCCTCTCCCTCCTCACCCCCTCTCCCTCCTCACCCCCCTCTCCCTCCTCACCCCCCTCTCCCCTCACTCCCCCCTCCCCCCCTCTCCCCATCCTCACCCCCCTCTCCCTCCCTCACCCCCCTCTCCCTCCTCACTCCCCTCACCCCCCTCACCCCCTTCTCCCTCCTCACCCCCCTCTCTCTCCTCACCCCCCTCTCCCTCATCCCTCACCCCCCTCTCTCTCCTCACCCCCCTCTCTCTCCTCACCTCCCTCCTCACCTCCCTCCTCACCCCCCTCTCTCTCCTCACCCCCCTCTCTCTCCTCACCCCCCTCTCTCTCCTCACCTCCCTCTCTCTCCTCACCACCCTCTCCCTCCTCACCTCCCTCTCCCTCCTCACCACCCTCTCCTCATCCCTCACCCCCCTCTCCCTCCTCACCTCCCTCTCTCTCCTCACCCCCCTCTCCCTCCTCACCCCCCTCTCTCTCCTCACCACCCTCTCCCTCCTCACCTCCCTCTCTCTCCTCACCACCCTCTCCTCATCCCTCACCCCCCTCTCCCTCCTCACCTCCCTCTCTCTCCTCACCTCCCTCTCTCTCCTCACCTCCCTCTCCCTCCTCACCTCCCTCTCCCTCCTCACCCCCCTCTCCCTCCTCACCCCCCTCTCCCTCCTCACCCCCCTCTCCTCATCCCTCACCCCCCTCTCTCTCCTCACCTCCCTCTCCCTCCTCACCCCCCTCACCCCCCTCTCCCCATCCCTCACCCCCCTCTCCCTCCTCACCTCCCTCTCCCTCCTCACCTCCCTCCTCACCTCCGTCTCCTTCACGCGGCGCCGCCTCCCGACCCCTCGACCCCCACGGCGAACGCGGAAGTGAAAGCTGAGGACGGTTGCCGGATATCCGGCGTGACGTCACAGGGGCGTGTGAAGACGGCCGCCATCTTACCTGGGGGGGGTGGGGGGCGTGCGCCATTGGCTGCGAGTTGTCACTACGCGAGGCGCGCGGCCTTCGTCGTCTTCGTCGCTGTTCGTTACTCGTTCTGATCATTGATTATTGCCGATATTAGGAAGCCACCTGGAGGCGTGCACTTTTGAATCGACCAAATTGAAAGCGCATTTATTTAACAAAACTGCCTTTTTGTGTGTGTTTGTTTAGTTTATTGATTTTTTTTATACCTGCTAACCCCTTATCATTGCCCCACCTTATTACAGACAATTTGGTCACCCCATGCCCTTATAAATGTCAACGTTCATCCGATACAACACATTCCTGCGGAGGGAGCTGGTAGGAACGTTGGGTTGCTCGGTCAATGGCCAGGGTCAACGGCGGCACCACGTGGTGTACTCCGCAAATATGCCCGACTGTGAGGGCGGGCACAAGCCGGCGTGAGTAGGTGAAACGTTGAGTTTTATAAGGGCACCACGGGGTGACCAGCCCCTCCCCACCCAGCCCCACCCAGCCCCACCCTCCCCACCCAGCCCCTCCCACGCCCCACCCGCCCCGCCCAGCCCCTCCCCACCCTCCCCAGCCTCCCCTCTCCACCCAGCCCCACCCCTCCCATTTTATCCGGGTGTCCGGATACACGTGGACAGACATCCACAGACATACAAAATCCCATGCCTCCTGTGAATTAATCCCGGTTGGGCTTCCAGTCCACTACGTTTCCTACCAGTACTATACACTACACTATACACTGCACAATACACTTCACTATTACATACCTTTTGATTTAAAGCTTTCGTGACTGCAGGGATTCATATTCTTGGTTCTTTCGGTAAAGTCACGTAGAAGGGAAACAATAAAGTAATATTTAAAAAAATTGTTTTATATTTTTATTATTTTATTGTTTCCCTTCTACGTGACTTTACCGAAAGAACCAAGAATATAGTACATACCTGTCAACCCGTTATCAGTGCCTATCTTATTACGGACGAATTCAGGCCTTATTGTTCACCCCGTGCTGTTATAAATCTCAACGTTCATCCTACAAAGTTCCATCACAAGGGAGAAACACAAACGAATACAAATATTTGCCCGTATTGAAACGGCTGCACGCCGTATGGGCCTGAAAATTAAATTCGTCTGTACAAGAATACAGGTAAACCGTATGGGTTTGACAACTCTGTATTTTATCCGCACCTCCGATTGGCATGGTCGACTAGGTACGGTGCGAAAGAAGTTCAACGTACATATACGAGACCTTTATGCCAGTATCAAAAGCAAGTTTTTCCACAACTGCGTATGGTTAACGTAAACTTTGTGCATTGCAAAGGGTATTTACTTTGGTGTTTGAACATCTGCAACACCTATTTTATTGCCAGAAAGGGTAAAACACCTATTATTTTACATATTATTTGGTTTACACGCAGCAGAAGCAATCATTGCCCCCCCCCCCAGCTCGCAGACTGATGATGCCCGCTTGCAGGACAGGTGCTGTAAGTCACCTTGTGTGTCACGGGGAAAGCTGCCACTGGGGGTGCCCTTTTCCAACGTGCCGAGATGAATATTGCGTGTCAAGCGCATAAGAGCCCGATATCAAAAACGCATCCTTGATTCCATAATATAGGTGGGTCGTTAAACCCGCCACCACCCGACACAGCCAATTAAGGTTTTTGTCATGTAAACAGAACGTGGCCAATTCGTTACGAGTACAGCACACCGGTGTTTTGGAGAACAAATCCACAACATTTACAATCTGAGTACGACGTTTCGCAATAAATTACAGCTAGCATCATCAGGCGACAGCCAGATTTGTGGAGAAATCCAGTTTCGTTCTTAAATAACGGAACGTTTTATATTTACGCGATCTAACCCAAAAACATCATATGTGTATTAGTCGCAAAAGCCTAGGTGTTAAACTGACATCCTTGATTATAGTCAAGGTACCGATATAAATCCAAATGAAGTTATTATTTATCAGCCATGCTCCATCCACTACTCGATGAAAAGCTGTCAACCGCGTGGTTCGGTATTTGAGCGAACTTCACGCTGGGTCATCGATGCGGGTTGTTGAAAGTTTGGAGCGTTGACGTGGAAGTGTGAGCACAGGACAACGATGGATGATGATTCTGCTCTGCCCTCCACTTGCCCACCGCGTAGCCCTGGAAGGCTCGTGTTGGCACGAAGGCTGGTTCTTGGCTCAAAGATGTAGGCAACCCTCGGAGCAATTTGGATGGATTTATATAGGGCAAGCCTCGAGAAATAGATTTACATTTTTAGTTCCGACAACAACATTGCTTTGTTCTTATTTACAAGATAACTGTAATCCATTATACTCATTATCCACAACGCCTATTACCCCCGGGGGCGTATCAGCACCTTACTCAATGTGCAGCTTAAGGTGATTGCGCGCAGGATGTTTTCGGAATAATAAAATAAGTCTTCATTAACTTCGCTGGCATCAAACAAGAACGCAGCCGTTCAGCAAGAACAATCGTCTGTCTCTCTCTCTCTCGTGTCTCAACTGTGACGAGCGTGAGCACGTTTTCTACAGCTCTGCGAAAATGTAACCACAACCGCGTTCTTCCCATTCATTATACGTGGTGCAGGGGTCGTAAATCTGCGGCTCCAGAGCCGCAAGCGGCTCTTTAAAGGACTGCTTCGTGACGTTAATAAAAATGTATTAAGGACCACCGTTCGTGATCACATTGCATTGACGGCTTTTGAAATATTGGGGGGGGTTACCGATTTTGAAAAAAAATGGCTCGTTATTTTTTCTTATTACCTGCAATTTTTACCCCCACGGATAATAGGAGTCACCGATTTGGGGCCCGCATATGAATATGGATAAAAGGAGTTCCGTGTTACATCGATGGCAGTTTAAAAAAATTGGGTCAGCATTCAACTGAATCAAAATTTAAAAGGCAGACAAGAGGGTTAGAGTCGCGAGTGGTTTTGGAAATCTGAACGTGATAAATAAAAGTAAACATAACGTGCCGAAGGAAGCGAGGTTTAATCATTGCGTACGACTTGCTATGGTATATGAATCAGAAACATGGTCATTAAGTTCACTAACCAATTGAAAGTATTTCTCAGAAGGATAAAGCTGCATACGCACTTCACACCTGGGATTTATAGCGTCTGAATGCATCTATCGTACTATGATAGTGCTTGCTACGTTGTGCATGATTCAGTGTATCTCGGATGGCCACCTTTTCCACTGTCAAACAAACCCAGACATATTTCTCTCTCAGCCAAGGTCTACCAAAAAACTGCAGTCTATTGTGATAAAGTTCAACGCAATGCCACCATGTCTCAGCACAATTCCTGCCACTCGAACACAGATGACAGTTCCCAGACTGTCCGGATGTATGAAACACCGTATGTTGAACTTCTTTCGCACCGTACGTAGCCAACCTTGCTAATTGGAGGTGCGGGAGAAGGACAACAATCTAAACACAACAAGCTATTTTAAAGAAATTAGTTTTTGTTTATCTTTATTTAAAAGTGCATAGCTCCAGTGGTTTCCTAATATCGGAAGGAAGAGCCTTCCAGACGACCGCAGAAACAACCCTAAGTGCAACTCGTCCTGGGTGGTGTGCATCATGGCACGTGCTGAATTTTGTGGTGGCCATTGTGCGTGGTGCAGCGAGTTCTCGAGTGTGCAGCGTGGCAGATCTTGAGGGATGGGTAGAGGAACCTCACGTCTGGTGTCTTGTGAATTGCGCTGTTGGGATCGCTCGTGCATGCACTGTGAAATGCAATAAACCCACGCGTGTGTGACGGTCACCCGGTTGTTTCGCGTGGCTGGGGAAGGGCGGGGAGGCAGGGCTGGGTGCTTCATTGTACGAGGCCATCTGAGCCTTGATGAGCAGGGCGGCCCATATCTTTGTGTGCCGCAGGCCCAGGCACACTGCCCAGCATCGCTACCTTTTCCACTGTTAACCAAATTCGGACATATTCCTCAGTCACCCTATAGGTCAGTGGTTGGCAACTAAAATAACAAGAAAAGCCATTTATTTCGAATTCGGAAAAAAAAAATATTTCAAGTGCAGCAATGCATGTGAATCGGAGACGGACCTTAATAAATAACGTCACGAAGTAGTTCTTAAAGAGTCGCATGCCGCTCTGGAGCTGCAGGTTGCCGACCCCTGGCCTCGGTCTTTCAAAAGTGTGCAGGGTATTGTGAAAAAATGTCAACACAATGCCACCAGATCTCAGTACAAATCACTTCCTGTCACCCGAATACAACACGTGCCAATTCCCAGACTCTCCGGGTCAAACCCAGAGGACGTTGGTCATAATTGGTTCCTTGGCCATAACTTCATCACTCTGGTCAGTGCCTGTTTAGGGTGCGGAGGCCCAGGACTGGCTCAGATATCGCTTGCCACTGATGTCAGCCATGAATGGGAATCGAACTCAGGTTGGCGGTTTCATTGCGTCGTGCGCTAACTCGAGTTTCCACCTCTACGGGTTTGATCCACACAGCCAGGGAATTGGCATGTTTTCGAGTGGCAGGAATCGATTTGTACAGAGGTCTGGTGGCACTGCGTTGAACTTCATCACAATGGACCACAGTGTTGATTAGACCAAGACTCAACAGAGAAACACGTCCGGGTTTGGTCGAGAGTGGAGGAAAGCTGGCGACCCTACGTGCAACCCAGACTCCTGTCCCACTGGGTGACTACGCTCCACGTACATTCGGTGTGGGCAACCTCTGCCCTTCAATGACCCACATGTGACGAACCTCGTCAGTAGCTTATGTCAGTTGTTAAAAGTTGAATTTAAATTGAAGCGGGGAAATGGGTGCCAATTTTAATGCTTTTCTCAACTAATGATCGTTCATCTTCTTTGGTTCTTTCGGTAAAGTCACGTAGAATGAGAATAAAATAATAAATTGATAAAATTAAATAACACAATAATATTCTCACGAACGTTTCGGCCACAACACAAGCTTGTGTTGTGTTGTGGCCGAAAGAACCAAAGAAGATGAATCATTGCAGTCACGAAAGCTTTAAATCGAAATTTAATGATCGTTCAATTCACATTTATTGAGTGCATTCTCTTGTACGAACACCAACAAAACTTTTCAACAAAACTTATTATGAGGTATGAACAAGCATGATGGTGAGGTATATCATTTATATAATTAGCACCACAGTACTTTAAATTGTCATTCCACATTCAAATCACATACATTTCTTTAATTTGCATGAGCAAGAAAAAAGCACATTGAACAGCTATCTCAGCATAATGTTTACTCTTAGTCAAGTCTTTGTAATATAGTTCGTATAAATAATGTATGCATTTCTCTGAATAGTTTTTTTATTGTAAAACTACTGTACATTATTAAGTATGATACTTTATGTACACAAGAAATTCAATCGTGAGGAAATATTATAACAAAACACAATTTTTGTACACGGAAATCTGTAAGGCTGTTTAGTAAAGAATGAGAAAATCATTTAGAGAATAAAGAATGACTGAAGATGTCAAACAATATAAAAACATTGTTTTTATTTTACCAGGTAAGACTCACTGACCTGTATAGCTCTTGTTCAGAAATGACCTGGCCACAAATGATAACGCAACGAAGTGGCTTATCGTGTGGAAATTTATAACAGCCAATTACTCTAAACGCATGCTTCTAAATGTGGAGGGGAAACCCGGAGGACCCGGAGAAAAATCCAAGCCACCACGGGGAGAACATGCAAACTCCAAATATACAAGCATCAAGGTTGGGATCGAACCCACAATCTCATGTATGCCAGGCGAGGTAGTTAATATCTCGCCACCGTGGCACTCCTGAATTTGTCATGAGAAGCACCGACAGGGAAACCCTTTTTTTATTGCAGAAACTCCTGAATTTCTGGTATGAAAGGGACAGAGTCCACGTTTCTTCAGTGTTCTAATCTCTCCACAAGCACAGCATTGGTCATTTTAGGGTTTCTCTTTAAAAAAAAGAACATTATTACCTCGACATGTCATGCTGGAACTTAACAGAGCTGTGGGATGTCAAGTACTTTTCAACGACAGTACTGTGAAGCTGCGCGCAGATTAAGACTGGAGTTCTTGAAACCACCTCTTACATTAAAAAAAACATATTGTACCTTTTGCGAATACAGATGTACAAGATGATGATCCCTCAGTCGTGTAGCTTTAATATTCACAAGTTTGCTATTTGGATTGTGGTGCTTGCGGAAAATGTAATATCGTTAAATAAATAAACCCTACTCAGCATAAATCAACTCGGACAACATTTTTTATATATTCATACTAATATTCACAATATACAGCATACTGTAACTTAGCATCCAAGTTCCAACAAACATTACTTTTCTTGAACATTAATTTCTCTAAAAGTCATTGTACCACGTAGCACTGGTGCTCCGATCTTCAGGGTAAGCTTTGAGGTCCCTTTGACTGTCACTGTAAGAAACCTGCAGGGAGAAAATAACGTACATTAAACTGTTAGCTGTGTCACGTTAAATAATAATAATATAAAATTCGATTTATGGTGCGTGCAGAATTCGTACAGCCAGTCGCTCACACAAGTCGGAGGCCCTAAACCACACTGCCTGTACACGTAGACGTGTAACAGATGTAATTCCACAAAGCGTCTGCAGGACAGAACCCAGACTTTCATGTGTTCCGGAAATCACCAGCGAGTGAGCTAAAACAATATTAGTAGGTGTTTTGCTAAGCGCTTGTGCACCACGTGATATTTTACTTTGTTTGGCCGGATTGGGTGAAGGAGCGATGCAAAATAAATGTGGTTGGACCATTACACGTCCAGACCCAAACAATCCATCATGAATCATAATATTGACTGCGTAAATCTACGCGTTAAATATATGTAGGGTTTAATTTCTATATATGGTTCATGAATAAAGTAAAACGCTTTCTTACTTTCGGCAAAATTGGAGCTTCCATGGTCCCATTGCGAAGATGTTCCCAAACAAAACGATTAAACCACCTGCAATGTAACAGGGGCGCAGTTTGAATAACAACTTTTGTAAGCAAACAGGTACATTCAAATCAACACATGCGAATGAAAAGTGACTTATCATAGAGGGGTGTGCAGAGTCAATGGAGAGTGCCATTAACATAGACGCGATTATAAATGCTGGCCATGCTAAGTGGCAGAAGAGAGATTGAGAAAAGGAGAGACCCTCGGGTGATGTAAGACTTTGAAATTCCGGAGGTATAACGTCGATAACCGGCCAGGTGGCGCAGCGGGAGAGCGACCACTCACAATCGGAAAGTTGCGAGTCCTGGTTGGGGGTTGACTCAGCCTATCATCTCTCTGGGGTCGATAAAATATATTCCACTTTCTGGTGGACGTCAACATTGGTTGGCCTATGGGTATACTCGCCCCCATCATTGGAAAATTGAGGAATTTCCACCACTGGTGCTCAGCTTGTCAACAGAAGCTGAGCACCTCCTCAATGCTCATTCGAGCAGGACATCTAGCCTATGGCTTGATACCGAACTAAGCGTGCACACGTTCCTAGTGCAAATGATACAAACAATGCAGAAGAGCTCGTGACCTGTGAGTGCGCACCGCTTCCAACCCATCTCCCTGGCTCCCGAGTCTCTGCAGAGGATCGACCCTGGACAGCGTCGTTCACAGGCAGAGTTAATGTAGCAATTAAAGTATAGCTGAACAACAAGGTCACCGGGCAGTCATATTTCCTGAATACATATCAAATAAAAAGCACGCAGGTTCTGAAAAGGCAGGTCCTGAAGAAATAAACTCAGAAGGTAGACATAAGTAATGGCATTCAGAGGAGAGGCTACAAGTGGCGCTTCGGTGGGAGAGTGATGAAGACTCGCTTGTGACCTGTGGTAGTTAGGACTGGTTAAGAACTAGTTAGTGATAAAGCGTGGGACTGGGTGAAGGATTAGTATCGAACTCTGCGGAAGAATAGTTGCAGGCCAAACGCGCGGCAGTGCGGGATCACGTTTATTAGCGAGTACGGTCTTGGTGAAATTATGTTATTTAATCCATTATATCCATGCATTCTGGATTCAAACGATAAGTACCGTGTGGATGTTAACATGTAAATATAGGCGTTGAAATATTTTATTTTATTCCCTTATATTTGTTACTTCTAAATAAAGTCGCTCCGGTTCACTTCAATTTTTTGAGCTGGCCATTACATCCTGCCTACATTTAGCACACAATACGTGACCAAGCCGTTGACACAATTTCTCACCTGCACAAACTTCGGATGAGGTTCTCTGCCCGGTTGCTTACTTTACCCTGCAACATGGCAAAGGAGATCCCTTGCAGTATAAGACTGTACGTCCGGACCGTGTCCTCACTCTTGAAGAGAGGGCTGTGAACATACGAGTTTCAAGATCAAGCTCGAGACGTCGTCATGGCCGGAGGCACCACTGCACTTCCTCACTACCGGCACCCCCTGCCCTCCGCCAGATCTCCGCACCTCCTCGTTGCTGGTGCCCCGTGCCCTCCGCCATGTAGACGCGCATAGCTTTGTGTCCCTTGCGCCCACTCCGAGCTCTGTATTCAGAGAATAATTGCTCTGCTGTTGTCTTTCTCGCATGTTTTCTTATTGCGCATTCAATTCGTCAATTGTCATCAAACGTATGGATGTTAAACTTCTCTTGCACCGTTCGTAACCAACCGTGCTAATCTGAGGTGCGGGTGAAGGACAATAAATGAAACAAAAAGCAATTCTAAAGAAATTGTTTTTTTTTCAATCTATGGAGACTAAATTATGAAATGCATTCCTACGGCTAAATATAGTTCAATACATGTGTAAACCTCACCCCCACACTGACCAGCCTGGTGAAGTATGGTCAAACAACTCCCATGACTGACACGGTGTGGGGAGGCATTCATCCACTGGTGGGCCTGGTGATGGCTACAATGTGGCACGAGTAGAAACGCCCACATCACATCGAGTCGTAAAACATGTGTCTCGGGCGTGTAAGAGAAATTACACAGCAACTTGTATTCACGTGCAGAGATTATTCATCATCGTGCAGCTTCATAAACAATGGAGTAGGGCATTGGACATATGAATCATGGAAGCGTGTACTCCAGTAGTGGATTGACGAACGACCATAAATTGTTCGTATTTACATACAACGTGCCTGAGAGACATTACCTGCCTGTTAGCAGCTCATAAATGAGGACTCCCAGAGACCAATAGTCAGCAGAAACATCGTGTCCCTCGCCGAGAATCACTTCCGGAGCCATGTACTCTGGTGTTCCGCAAAGGGTAAAGGTCCTTTCTCCAAACAGCAATCGCTTTGAAAATCCAAAGTCTATCTGCGTAACGAGATGTCACAACAGTCCATTTTTTCACATCATGTCCAGGACACAGCTTAATTCGTGTGACAGCAAACACAATGTATGTATGTTTCACTTATTTTATTTACCGTACGTGGCCATCAATACTAATCGAAGGTACAGGGGAAGGACAATAAACTAAACACAAAAAGCAGTGCTAAAGAAATGCGTTTTCAGTCTCAATTTCAAAGCTCAAGTGGCTTCCTAATATTGGAATGGAAGAACGTTCCAGGACGGCCCGCAAAAGCGCATCTGAAAGCACGCGACACTGCACGTGCGCATGGTCCCGGCATTAGGTTACGCAGTGGTGGCAAGGTGCCCCTATGCGCGTGCCGCCGCCACACACCAGAACTTCCACATTTACATTGTGACCACTGTGGTGTACGCACCTGCTCCGTGGCTGACGGCCACTTTTGATCACATTCATATTTTTGTTGCAGACAACACAGTTGTAACGATTAAGTTGGTGGACATCTCGCTTATCCGGGTCTATGCCATCCGTGTGCCCCGTTCCGTGTGTTTGAATCTCTTGCCTGATTTGGGCTGCGAAGTGTTTACGGGTTTTCCCTAACCCACGGATGGCCCTCTAATTACCACGGGTAATCCATGTGCCACTGTACCTCACCCAAAAATCAAATATGGGCTATGTGAAAATATAAATTATGCACGTGTACAATTACCATCCCAGCTTAAAATACCATCCCAGCTTAAAATACTGTAAGTCGTGGTCGATCTGATGCAGCCATAAAGAGATAAGATTTAACATAAAACAGTCAGGTTGATGATCCAGCACTCACGAATTCACCCCAGTCACCTCCTTATCGCTCTTCTAGAGCTATTACCGTGGTTACTGTTCCCGTTGATTCCTCCACCCGCGTTGAGACTTCTGCCGAGACTGACTGTTTAGTCTCATCCCAACTATGTACAACCCACACCTCAGGTCACGACAACACTCAGACACTCACCCACTCGCCACACCGCAGGTCACGACAACACTCAGCCACTCACCCACTCACCACACCGCAGGTCACGACAACACTCAGACACTCACCACACTGCAGGTCACGGTAACACTCAGCCACTCACCCACTCACCACACCGCAGGTGACGACAACACTCAGCCACTCACCCACTCACCACACCGCAGGTCACGACAACACTCAGCCACTCACCCACTCACCACACTGCAGGTCACGGGAACACTCAGACACTCACCCACTCACCACACCCCAGGTCACAACACTCAGCCACTCACCCACTCGCCACACCGCAGATCACGACAACACTCAGCCACTCACCACACCCCAGGTCACAACGCTTCTCTTTCTGCTTTGTATCTCCCACTGCTCCACTTCTGTTTACCGTACTTCCCGACATGCAACAAGCTGGAAATTTGCCATGTGGGTACTTTCCAGACTGTACACCATGCAAAAATTATAAAAATACACTTTTGTGTGTGTTTTTGGGGTGAGGGGGAGCTCAATAATGCATTTATTTTTTGTACCGCAAGTGAGCTGTGACGTCAGATCTGTCACGTGTCCCGCGCACGTGGACGCGTAACGCATTGTGGTGTAGTGGTTAACGCGCCGCGCTACGAACCCGGCGACCCGAGTTCAATTCCCGCTCACGGCCACCACCGATGACGATTATTTCAATCGCTTCTGGGCATCCCCTAGGTCGACTCAGCCTCAAACGAGTAACTTCTGTGGTGTGTGAACATCGCCACTGGGGAGACAAAAGCGGCCGGGCGTGATGGATCCAAGTCCCGGGCGAAGCCGGGTAGTACAGCTAGTACCTAATAAATGAAACTGAAAACTGAAACTTTGGAATCCCTCCCATCGTCGCCCCCCCCCCCCCCTCCAGCTCTTATAATTACCTTGTTCAATTCAAGAAAAACGTGGTGCTCTTATTTCTTACAACTTTAACCCGTGCTGTTTGTCACTGGCCGTTTTGACATTTTGGATATTGTGGGACCTGTGCTGAGAAACTGTGTTTACAAAAAAAACGTCGCACATTTGTGAGACGCATGCTAGAAATTAAAATGATACTACTTGGCTCCATATCTGCCCATATGTTTAATAAACTCAATATCATGTCCATCTACAACAATAATATACTCCAAATATGCAGCTTTATCTATGAGTACACATACCTCCGAGACATCGTGCCGAAACACAAGACACTCCGATAACTTTCACCCCCCCCCCCCCTCCACTGCCGCACCACGCACAGTCAATTCACTATCAGATACAGAGGTTCCGTACTCTGAAATGCCTATCTTCACATTGCCAAAATACCATCATCCTTCAACAACTTCAAGAATAGACTGCGAGATAGCCTGATGAGCCAAACTACCCAGTAGTCTCCTCCATGTAGTCCAACTCCCACACACACTCACACACACACATAAGCACACATGTGCACACAAAAACAAACGTGTATTTTTTAACACTGAGTTGAACACGTTTGATTGTAATTAGTATGCTGTTTTAATTGATTGAACAATCTGTGTTGCATATAGTTTGACACGTAGGTTTTCGCGACCAATATCATCCATAATATCGGTTTTTTTTTGTTTGATCACGTAAATATGAATGTGTCGTTAAATCCTCCACCACCCGACACAGCCAATTAGTAAGGTTTGTCACGTAAATAGAACATGCAAAATACAGCACACCGGTGTGTTGGAGCGCAAATCCACAACATTTATAATCTGGGTACGACGTTTCGCCAGTAATTACAACGAGCATCATCCGGCGGACTGCCATATTTGTGTAGATTCTCCTGTTTTGCACGCTACATAAAATATAGAAACTAATATCTGGTACTGAAGATGTATTACCAAAGCTATCAACAGAAGGTGTGTCCCGGATTAACTGCACTTGTGGCAAATGCTATGTTGGGCAGACAGGGCAAATGATCAGCATGAGACTAAAAGGACACCAAAGGAATATTAAATACTCCTAAATACAACTGTCAGCAGTGGCAGAACACGCGTGCCAACAAGGACAATAAATTAATTTTGATAATGTTGAAGTTATGTGCAAAACTAATTACTACTGGCCAAGACTAATTAGATAATCTATCGAAATTGAGAGAAACAAAAACAATTTTAACCGTTCGGATAGCGACAGACGTAGTGCTGCTTGGAAGTGAATCATCAAATAATACATTGTTTAAATGCGTGCCGATATAGATCATCATGCATCAACGGAGATTACCTATGCGCAAACAATAAACAGGTACTGCTATTTTAGTGCACACAAACGACAGGATGTCCAAGAAAAATGTGCGCGCATGATGTGCGTACATAATTTATATTGATTACCGTATGAATAACCCAACCGGTCATGGATACCCATTGTAATGTATATGCATTAATTCCCCCATTCGCACGTGAAGGGCTCACAAGTGACGTCATCACATCAATTCCTCTATTTAAAGAACGAAACAGGAGGCTTTCGCCACAAATCTGGCTGTCTGTCTGATGATGCCGGTTGTAATTACTGGTGAAACATCGTACTCAGATTGTAAATGTTGTGGATTTGCTCTCCAACACACCGGTGTGCTGTACTAGTAACGAATTGGCATGTTCTGTTTACGTGACAACCCTTACTAATTGGCTTTGTCGGGTGGTGGCGGGTTTAACGACACATTTGTATTTTTCGCGATCTAACCCAAAAAAACTATATTATGTTTTGTATGTACATTGTTCTTTTTGTGAGTGTGCTTTTCATATAAGCCCTCTTGGGTTTCCAAACCTCATCTGTGCACCTTTTTACCTTTATTTTATTTGCAATGTTTGTCTTCGACAGGCTTTTTTTGTGCGAATAATAAAATAAAATCAACCCGTTCAGGTCGGTGTGATTGTTACCAGCTTGGCATAGCCCTTGTGATCCAAAACAATATTTTCTGGCTTCAGGTCACGATAGACGATCCCTTCTGAGTGCAGGTAAGAAAGTGCTTCCAGGACGCACGCCATGTAGAAGCGAGCGGTCTGCTCATCAAACCTACCCCTGCAGCAAGGAGAGGGAGAACACAAACGCATGAACACTACCTATCAGCTTTATATTTAAAAGAGTGTCCTTAAATGTGATAGGTTTTGCTGTGGCTGCTGCTATGTTGGCAGATGTGCTCAAGCAAAGCCAACAACAACTCGTGCTCAGCAACGACACTGTGCTCTGGCAAAGGACCGTTGCCTGAAACGTCGCGTTATCGTATATTACTTTATTTTCCTTTCAAGGCCACAGTGTTATCGATGAACGAAGGAAAGGCGCCACTTCTAGATTTGAAGTTTTCGTGACTGCAATGATTTGATTAACTTTATTTAATATTTTTACCTACGTGACTTTACCGAAAGAACCAAAGAGTATAGAAATGCGCCACGTTCGTCAGTAGCATTGCTTGATGACAAATGTACAACATTATGATGCCTCCTTTGCCAGTAACAAGATATAGTAATAGGTTTTGCCCTTTTAACTGCCACAAAAAGTGACACCTTTATTCAAGGCATCATGTTTGCAATAACCACAACACAAGCAGTCAAAATGCAAACAAAAGAGACAACTCTGATAATAATAATATGCACTGTCCTTGAATTTGATTGGTCCACACCCGAAACGGCTTTTCTTAGAGCCTAGTCTCCATCTGGTCCAACACCAGTGGAGACTAGGCTCTAAGAAAAGCCGTCTCGGGTGTGGACCAATCAAATTCAAGGACAGTGCATATTATTATCAGAGTTGTCTCTTTTGTTTGCATTTTGACTGCTTGTGTTGTGGTTATTGCAAACATGATGCCTTGAATAAAGGTGTCAGTTTTTGTACCAGTTAAAAGGGTAAAACCTATTACTAAATGTACAACAGGCAAACAGCGTGTGTAATGACCCTATATTCTTCACACACACACTTTTATATATTGCTTTTGTTTTGAGGCAAGTGCTCATTCAGAATGGTGATTTTTGCGTGATTATTCCATGCGTTTGTGCACTACTGCCAATGCATTATATTAATATTTCAGTTGGGTACAAGAGTTTTATATCGCTCCCAGAAATTAACCATCCAGATGGGAATTATCTCAAATGTTTCTGTTGGCTCTCATACTACTGTTAAATTCATTATCTGAGACCAATAAAATACCGTGGCCAAACTCATTATGGAATTTGTATTTATTGTGGAACGTCAACAACTATTCTATGAGTTGTGGTATTATTTTGTGAGATGATGCCAAGTGTCATTTTGTGTACTTTTGTAAATTGGCCAAAGTAGTAACCCAGTTATAGGTTAAACGCATTTCCGCAGACAAATAACAACTGTAACTTGCATTTGCAAAAACAAATTGGAATCTAGTTTCTTGGAACAAAGTGTATGGTACAATCGGCGCGTTGCGGTTTGTCTGAATATTTGGAAAGGCAGCTGTGCGGATTTCAAAAACTTTCTCGGCAATGCCTAAGTGCCCACAAACGTTCGTAATGCTGTCTGACTCTGCAAGGTACCCGCGGCAGCATGTGTGTGCGTTCACGTTCATAACACTAACAGTGCGAGGAACCCACCGCTCCTGCAAGATGTCCCACAGCTCTCCACCGAGGCCGGCTTCCATGAGCAGATACAAGCATTCCATGTCTTGGAAAGTGCAGTACAACCTGACACCGGATACATCACACCACATCGTGGCCAAACTCATCATTATTGTGGAAAGTCAACAAACTGTTCTTTGAGTTGTGGTATTATTTTGTGAGATGATGCCAAGTGTCATTTTGTGTACTTTTGAAAATTGGCCAAAGTAGTAACCCGACTGCGCCACCGGTTGTCGCTCGATTTGCCCTCCCCTCTTCACCCGGTGTCCTTCGCCCACACGGGCGACCAGTGAACTGGCAGTGGGATTGTAGCTGGATGGCTACCAGCGAGCGCGGCAGAATTATCACCGACTGCGGCTCTGTACTAACCACTTGCTGTAGAGCAGCGGTCCTCAAAGTGTGTGGTTCATGGACCACCAGTGGGCCGCGATGGTCCTCCAGGTGGGCCGTGGGAAATGCGGGTTGATCCGGACAATAATGACAACGCTTATACCTTTGGTTTCGGACAAAAAATCGTTGAACACGTAGGTTTTCGTGACCAATATTATCCATTCTAAACGTTTTTTTTTGTGTTGTTTACGTGACACACATGACTAATTGGCTGTGTCGGGTGGTGGCGGGTTTAACCACACATTTATATCTTCTTTGGTTCTTTCGGTAAAGTCACGTAGAATGATAATAAAATAATAAATTGATAAAATAAAATAACACAATAATAATAATGTTATTTTATTTTATCAATTTATTATTTTATTATCATTCTACGTGACTTTACCGAAAGAACCAAAGAAGATGAATCATTGCAGTCACGAAAGCTTTAAATCGAAATTCACACATTTATACTTAAGCAATCTAAACCAAAACAAATGTATTATGGACATTAATTAATATTTTACTCATGATATTTAATACAAATTAATTTAGGTAAACTCTCCTGAGTAAACTACCCTAACCCTAAGATCTTAACGCCCCCCCCACCCTCCCCCCCCCCCAAAAAAACCTTACAGCTGCGTAAAAAAACATGTTTTTGTTTCCGGTAATATGAATCATTTTGTATTACTGGCATTGAGAGACACGTGAATGCGTTTTGTCACCGGGAGGGCTGGGATGGTCTGCTGAAATGTTTGCATCGGCTGAGTGTGTTCCGCGGGCCAAAATCGTTTGAGAACCACCGCTGTTGACTGAGGTGGCTTGTGTGGCAGTAGCAGTCGATATGTATCAGCAGCAGTAGTATCAGCAGCACGCACGGCAACACTAATAGTATCAGCAGAAGTAGAAGTAGCGGTTCGTACGATGTTGACCTAGGGGAGGCTCAGGACCAGTTCAGATAATTATTGTCACTGGTGTTGGCCGTAAGTGGAAATCGAACTCGAGTCGCTGGATTCGTAGCGCAGTGCACTAACCGCTACACCATCGCGCACTAACCCACAGGTAACCGTGGCGCGACCCTCATAACTACGCAAAATGTGCGTGGTGATTGGAAGCCGTTCCGCAATGAGCTCGGGAAAATGATGCTTGTCGCGGCAGGCAAAAGAGCGACGGGACCACTGACACATCTGGCTTTTCAAGGAGCCCACTGATTCCGTGAATAACAACAGCCATGGACGAGATGAATTCGACTATTTCAATCTGAATTCAAAACAAATCCTAAGTGTGTTCAGCGGGCACGCTGGGGCACATCGTAAATCTTACTTGACGATGAAGTTGCTGAGCGAGTGGTGCATAATTTCTTTCTCCAAATGGATGTACTCCTCGTGGCTGTTCTTCTTTATTTCCTGTTTTTTCACAATCTTCATGGCAAAATACTGGGTTCCTGTGTTCTTCAATTGAACCTGCATGGGAATATGTTTACAGTTTGCATCAGCGCCACTGAGAATATTGCACAAACGTTGAGACACACGAATGTAGAGGTCTATGAGGACATCAACTCTTCCACACGCAGTGTTAAGCTGTTGTTTATCAGATTAATACAATTCCTCCAGGAAGCACACTCTGTGTGTTACATACACCGCTTTTATGCTCCCCGTGTTTAAAGTAATTTTATTTTTTTTCTTGCTTCGTGGATTTTTTTTGTACTGTGATAGAAAACATCCAAACCGACTCGGGTATAACGGCTACAAACAGGTGGCCCCTGTACACAAAGTTATAATAAGGACACATTCCGGGGCCCGAGGGGCACGGTGTTCGTTCTCCACAGAAGTGCACAGCAGAAAATTCTGACAGCGTACCGCTTGCAAATTAAGTATCCCCCACAGACAGATAAGCATACCAGTGAATGTGTTAAATGGTATTCAACGATGTTAAATAAAACATCCGAGTTTCAACCTCCGAAGGTGACAACAGAAGGTGAACTGGGGGACGAATGTTTCGTGCAGAATCCGCGCATGGCTGGAATTGCAGCGCCAGAAAGAGGATCATAAAACAAACGCACATCGTAACGACATTTAAGAGATTCAATTGGCAGTTTCTGGTTACTTATCCATTGAGATGTGTGTTTCAATTCACGTAGCTATCTGGCCAGTATTCAAACGCTTTTTTTGTTTGGTAGAATGACTTAGGTTTTTTTGTAATTTAATGCAGGGTCCATTCTGCTGCTCAATTAGCCCATCGCTCCATCGCTCGGAACGACCCAACGCGGGTTGCAATGCAGCAACGATGCCGAAACTTTCCTCCACTGTGCGCAATTGAGTCAATGGCACCCTGGGTTGTGGATCAATAGACTTCATTTAAAATATTTCACCTGGAAAATCCCTTGAGGTGCAATGTCCAAGGTGCCGAGAGGGCCTGGCATCCATCCACACAAACTCACGAGCATGTTTGGCACCCTAACCCGACGCCTGTGTGTGAACTCTCCATCAGATTTTTGGTACGCGAAATTCTTTGAAAGCAGCTGAATGGAAACTCACATATACGTGAAAGGTAATTTTATGTACACATCTCATCAGCCGCGCAGCCTCTTTTGCGACACACCGTTTATAACAACCTTCCACTTTTACAGAATTGGTTCACAGACACCACGAGTAGAGATGTCCGAGAGATGAGCGAACATCTCCTTGAATGGGCCGAACCCAAAAGTCTTGGAGGCAAGGGTCTGTGGGGCCCGCGGTCCCGTGTGGAGCCTCTGAAAAGCCGGAAGGGTAAAACCCTCCAGCTGTCAAGAGTGTCACTCACCACCGTGCGTTGACCTCCAGCACAACCGGTCAGAGCCTCCGTTACGGTGGCGGCCCACTCGTGCGGTTACGTAAAAAATAGATAACTAACGAATAAGAACACAATACCTTCAGGGATGGTGAATTCATACAAGGCAGAGAGGACGGTGAGATGCGTATGTTATGCTGTCATGTTTAGGGTCATTGGAATTTAGTGCGAATCAACAAGAGCTTAACTCACGTGTTGTCTGAAATCACTTTTCTCACGATTTTAAGTGACACGTTGAACGGCATAATTCCAGGGAAAGGGTGCGAACGTGGCCAACTCTATCAACCACATTTTGTCAACAAAAACACAAACCGAAGGAACCTGCTGAAAGATGTTCCCACCGTGGTCAACGCATCGACTGTGCGCACAACGAATGCGTTCATAAAACGATGGGGAAATGTGGCCGTCACGTGGCAGGTTTTGCAATGAGTCAGAAGAGAGAGGTGCGTGTGTGACCAGGCACAGATCGCATTACATATCGGCAGCAATTCTTACAGCGCGCAGACAAACTGTGATGGGAACACAACTCAAAATAAAAACAGGCACAAAATAATATGCAGTCTAAACGCCCTTGCCAACAGCAGCAACATCATTTAATAAGCAGCAGTCTGAATTCCTTGGGGCGACCCAAATAAGAAGCGTGTGCTTTCTCTGGCTTACGGACTTGAGTCAGCAGCTGCTGCTCCTGCTGCTGCCGCTGCTACCGCTGCAAGATGTTCAAAGAGGAGCTCCTCTGTGCTCCATTCTGGACTGTGTTCTCTGCGATGCCGGTATAGGGATGAAAACAAAATGTTGACAAAGCAAAGGTTTTGACTGTGTTGTATTACTGAAGATTTCTCTAACTGCTCCTGTCTTTGTAAGGATCGTTAACCCACGTTTTACATCTGCACCTTGTAGCACTTGAACCCTTGTCGAATATAAAATTTTGAGAACATTATAATTGAGTAAAAACCGGTGTACTCCGTTACCCACGTGTATCTGCTCTCCGCTGATCGTTTGTTTTCAGGATATACATACATTTATGTAGAATTTTTTTTTATTTTTGTAAATCGCCTGGACAACGCATTCACGTTCACATCTTTAATGCGCGTACTGCATGTGTACGATACGCACGCAGAGGTGACTATCTCTATCGTAGGGAGAATTGTTGTGCGGTAAATAATTAGCGTGCCACACAATGAACCCTGCGACCTACGTTCCATTCATGACCACGGCAGGAACATCAGCCGCGAGCGATATCCCAATCAGCCCTCGTTCTAACCTTCAACAACCCTAAACCATAAGTCTGTTCATCCTCGCAGCGGCTTTTGGCTAAGCTTCAAACAAAGACGGTGGTCACCCCATCGCGCGCTTTCAGATGCGCTTCTGCGACCGTCTGGAACGCTCTTCCTTCCGACATTCGGAAGCCACTGGAGCTGTGCACTTTTACTGGTAGGAACGAAGTTGTAAACTGAGTGTACCAGCCTGCAATAGATTAATGTGTCCGTCCGTCCGTCCCCTTTCAAAAGCCCCATACTACCGTATACCGGGAAACAATTCCTCATTTTAAAATGCAATTGTTGTCATTTTTCGGCCCAGCCCTTAACGATTTTATGATAAATTGCTCCAAAATGAGCAGATTTCAGTCAATAAGGATTTCACCATTCCATTCCTCTACAGAGGTTAATTTGTCCGAAGAACCCTCAACGATTTTGAGGGCAAAAAGGTGGGAAGACGCTCTCAATTTGCACAATTTTACGTAACAATGTCATAAAATTGCGCAAAATTCCAATGTTCCTACCAGCCCACCCTGCAGGGACCTGTTAAATCTCGATTGAAAACTAATTTCTTTATAACTTATTTACGTGTTTAGTTTGTTGTCCTTCCACCGCACCTCCGATTGCCACGGTTAGCGACGTACGGTGCGAAATAACTTCAACATACAAACATGGACGGATGACCCCGATCACGAAGGAAGGCCTTCATCAATTAGCGGATGGACAGCGGTCCGTAAATTATTCTCGTGCGCAACTGCGCATGTATCTGTTTCGGCTTCATCGCCTATTATTAGCCAAACCACTTCACAATTTGTTTCCACTGTTTCATCACCAATATTGTACATGCATCGTACACCGTGATTAATACTCGTTCACTCGTTGGTGTCACGGTGTGCGGCACTGGGTGTGCAACCTGCGCACGGCGTGCGACTGCTCAGGGAGTGGGGGGAGGGGGGAGTGGGAGAGGAGGGAGTGGGGGGAGGGGGGAGTGGGGGAGAAGGGAGTGGGGGGGGGGAGAAGGGAGTGGGGGGGGGCAGGGAGTGGGGGGTGGCGGGAACATGGAGTGGGGGGAGCAGGGAGAAAGTGGCGTTGGGGAGAACAGGGAGTGGGAGAGTGAGGAGGAGTGGGGGGGGAGTAGAGAGTGAAAGAGGGGAGAGTAGGGGGGGGCGGGGAGTGGGGGGGAAGCAGGGAGTCGGGGGAGTGGGGGAGCAGGGAGTGGTGGGGAGTAGAGAATGGAGGGGGGGAGGAGGGGGAGCAGGGAGTGGGGGGGACGCGGAGAGGGGGGGGTGGCGGGAACATGGAGTGGTGGGGAGCGGGGAGTGGTGGAGGGGGGAGGAGGGGGAGCAGGGAGTGGGGGAGAGCGCGGAATGGGGGGGAGCAGGGAGTGGCGGGGGGGAGCAGGGAGTGGGGGGGAGGGGGAGTGAGGGAGAGCGGGGAGTGGGGGGGAGTGGGGAGTGGGGGAGCAGGAAGTGGGGGGGGGGGGTCAGCGAGTGGGGGGAGCAAGACGTGGGGGGAGCAAGACGTGGGGGGGGGGGGCAGGAAGTTGGGGGGATCAGGGAGTGGTGGGAACATGGAGTGGGGGGAGCAGGGAGAAAGTCGAGTTGGGAAGAGCAGGGAGTGGGGGGGAGTGGGGAAGGGGGAGTGGGGGAGTGAGGGGGAGTGGGGGAGTGGGGGAGTGGGAGGAGCAAGGAGTGGGGGGGAGTAGGGAGTGGGGGGGCAGGGAGTGGGAGAGGGGAGCGGGGAGTGGGGGAGAGTTGTGGGAGCAGGGAGTGGGGGGGGGGGAGTGGGGGGGGGAGCAGGGAGTGGGGGGAGTGGGGGGGAGTTGTGGGAGCAGGGAGTGGGGGGGAGCAGTGAGTAGGGCGCTGGTAACCGGCCGAGCGGCGTTGCTCAGTGAAACGGCCCTCAGAGAGTGCGACTGTTTTCGGAGCCCGAGGAACCCCCCCACACACGCGTGCCGGGAGCGCTTCTCTTGAGAATCCGCCACTCTAATTACTTCCCACTCGATCCAGGCAGCAGCAGAGTGTCACAGCTAAGTGGAGGCCATTAACACTCTACGTGAGTAATCTTAACGACTTCTCCATTAAAGAAGACCAAGCACGTCCCAAGTTGTCAATCCACTGCTGGATGATGAGGGTCTCCTCTAACACCCTGCGCGGGTCGTGTGAGTTGTTTGGCCATACCTCACCGCGCTGGTCAGTCTGTTGAAAGAAAGTGCAGCAGTGGATTATGCGGCACGGCCTACAACGTGGCTCGCCGCAGGCACCTCGGACGCACCGTCCAGACTCATCATCCGTGCTTAGCTCCTGAGATCCTAAGAGATCGGCCGCGTTCTGGGCGATCCGGTCACAGGCCCCGGGGTTCCCTCGTCAGCCAAGAAC